AGGCCACACCTACAGAAGAGGTTCTAAAAAAATTTGAAACCCACCACTGATCAGGTCACAAAGGATAGTTCAGAGTCTGGTAATCCTGAAGAGGTATCAAGAAATCAAAAACTCAGGATAAGTTAGAGAAACATGAAAAAACAAAGAAAGGAGATGTTTTTGCGTATGCCCAAAATAAAAGAATCTATAGTCCACTTCATCCATCTTTGCACTCCTGGATCTCTCAGCAGCTTTTGACACCATCAGCTGTAGAAGGGGTCTCCAAACATAACAATTTTAAGACTCGTGGACTTCAACTCCCAGAATTTCCCAACCGCCATGGCTGGCTGGGGAATTCTGGGAGTTGAAATCCACAAGTCTTAAACTTGCCAGGTTTGGTGACCTCTGAACTGCAGTATGCTTCAGTGATGGCTCCTTGGGTTGGGGATTGAGGGAACTGTTTTACAGCAGTTTTCTTCTTTTCTTTGGAGCCAGTTCCAGTCAGGATAAGGTGGAGAGAAATCTTCTCCTAGCCCCTTCTTTGTGGGGTGACACAGGTGCTATTCTCCCCTTCTTTTCCCCCTTTAGAGGAAACCCCTAGGAGAGGTCATCCACCCATTTGGGGTTTGGTATCATAGTATGCTGATGACATCCAATGATATCTTTTCACTCCAGGCCCGCCAAGTGAGGCTGTTGTAGTTCTGTCATGGTGCCTCTAGGTGTGCGGGTTTGAATGGGGAGGAAGTGTACAGCTTTATCTAAAGTTTCAGTTGCATCCTTTTCTGGATGAGGGAGAGGGGACTTCAGATAGGCACTCATGCTCTGGTCACCCCAGAGCTTGAGTACTCTAACATTGTAGATGGAACTGCCCTTGTAGAATCACCTGGATGCTTCGCCTAGTCCGGAAAGCAGCGGTGTGTGTGTGGTAATGGGAATGCCTCAGTAGGACTCTTGCTTTGTGGGCTGCATTGGTTAAGAGTTTGCTTCCAAATCAGTCAGGGCTGGAAAGGACCTTAGAGGTGTTGTAGTCAACCATCTGCCCAGGCCAGAGGTACTTATTCCATCTGGGACAAATGGTTGTCCAAGCCATGGTCCCACCAGTACACCTAAATCCCTTTCACAGGTATTACTGCTGATCCAGGTACTGCCTATTTTGAACCTGTGCATTTGGTTTTTCCTGGCTAATAAGTGTAGGACCTTACTTTTCTCAGTACTCAACTGCATCTTATTGGATAGGGCCCAATGCTGAAGTCTGTTAAAGTCCTTCTGAATGTTGAGTCTATCTTCCAAAGTGTTAGCATTCCCCCAACACCCCCCCCTTCCTGGCTTGGTAACATCTTCTGATTTGATGAGCTCCCCTTTCTATCCCTTTATCTAGGTCATTTAGGAAGATATTGAAGAGCACTGGGCCCAAGGAAAAAAAAACCTTTAGGTACTCCACTGCATGTTTCCTTCCACAAAAATGTAGTTCTCTTGAGGAGCACACACACAGTACAATTGGTAAGCCAACTGCAAATTCATCTGGAGGTGGTTCTATCCCACATTGTTCTATCTTACTAGGAATAGGTTGTGGTCTATCAAATGCCTTACTGAAGACTAAGTGGAGTATGTCCACAGCATTTCCCTGATCCACTAATTTAGTCACTTTATCAAAGAAGGCAAAGTTTATTTGACATGACCTGTAGCAGCACCTGTACAGCAGCACCTGCTCTCTAGCTTTTCTCCAGAGATTTTAACAACCTCCAATGTACTTGCATTCTGAAGGGCTCTGAAAACTTGGCTGTTCACCTTGATCTTTGGCAAGTGTGGTTGAAGCCTGCTTTTCTTCTTTTGCTTTATTCCCATCTGAGTTTTGTTATTTATGCCCTCTTTGTTCCTTTTTGCATTGTGTGGTTTTCTTGTTTTAACAATTTGTAAACTGCCCTGAATCACTGGAACCCAGGCAGCATATACATTTAACCAATTGTTACTTTACTGTTGTTATTAATAATGGGATCAAACACAAACAGTAACTAAAAAGGCAAAGCCACTCAATCCTATTTCGGTTCAATCTTCTCCAGCAAAATGATATGGGACACACTTGGAAATTGAGGAACAGGATGAAAGGCGAGATTAAAGTTTAAGATTGATAGAACCAGTCAGAAAATATCTAATGGAATGAGTCTTTAGGACCAGATGAAACATATCCCTGGAGGTCGGTTAAGAGTTTGACAGGGAGCCCATTACCCAGAGAAGTGGTTCCCCTTCATTGACTAGGCTTAATCAGAACTTGGCCCACCATTTGTCTAGAATGCTGTAAGCTGTGTTCCTCAACTGAACAGATTCAAAATCAGTTGCTTAAATGGACCTCTCCAACTCTGATTTAGGTTCTGACTTATGCTTTTCTTCAATATGCAGGATATACCTTTTCTCTGCCTTTCCCTATTTATTGGGTCCTTGCTAGCAACTTTTGTGGACGTATTCCCCCCACTCCCCATCTTAGCAAATTGGATAGTATACTTGGAAACAATTCATAATTATTTTATATGGGAAAATTCAGTAACTGGATCAGAGAAGGAAGAATAAAGAGCAAGTGTGCAGGTGATTTGCAGGATAGGTTTAGTAGAAACATTCTAAATCGGAAGAGGAAACTTTGCAAGCATTGTGGGAAGTAGGTGGTAACCAGAAAACCAAAAAAAATCTAAGAATTTACATGTGGCGTTTTAAAGAAGTGCACTATGGTTTTTTGCCTTCTTAGTGAAGAGGTAAACCACAGCTCAGTGGCCGAGCATATATTCAGCATTCAGAAAAGACATGAGAATTTTCAAGTCTAGCATCTCTAGTGTTTTGAGTGATTGGGCTGATAAAAGAATTGAAGAGATAACCAGTTCTCTTTGGAGTTACATCTGGATTTTGAGAAAATGACAAGGTTATCAGATCAGGAAGCCTCCACCATGGACACAGTGCCCATTCACAAGATGTTGCTGTTGCCATAATGTTAGTTATGATCAATCACTAAGTGATTACACAATTGGCAGAAGTTATGAGTGGTGATATTATGTGACTACTTTCCCAAGGGAACACACAAATCAATTATTTTTTATTTCAAGGTTATTTCCCCCCCCATTCATGACACATCTAGGTGTCCTAGTGAACAACCACTTAAGCGTGAGCCAGCAGTGTGCTCCAGCTACCAAAAATTGTCAATGGTTTCTAGGCTACATCAAGATCATGGGAAATAATAGTATCGCTCTGTACTATGCTAGTGAGGCTACACTTGGAATACTGTATTCAATTCTGGTAAAAACAAAAAGGTGCTGAGACCCTAGAAAGAGTGCAGAGAAATAGAAAAGGTCTGGAGGCTAAAACAGATGAATGGTTGCAGGAATTGGGTAGGTCTAACCTAATAAAGAGAATTCGGGGTGACATAGGTGTCTTCCAGTACATGAGGGGTTACCACAGTGAGGTAGGGTGGCTGAGGGCAGAATAAGAAGCGAAGAGTGGAAGAAGCTACTTTTTTTAGTAAATAGTCATAGAAACATAGGGCTGGAAGGGACCTCAGGTCTTCTAGCCCAAATCTCTGTCCAGGGCAGGAGACCTTATTCCATAACAGACAAATGGACATCCAATCTTCTTGAAAGCCTCCAGCAATGGTGTACCCACAACTGAAAAGCAAGCTATTCTGTAAGTTTGTTGTTCTCACTGTCAGGAAGCTTCTCCTCAGTTCCAGGTGGGATCAGTCTCAAAGTAGCTTCTAGCCCAAAGAGGACGCTTGAACTGCCCAAACATCTAGATTTGCTTTAGATTAGGTCTTTTAGATTTCACAGAAGCAAATCGATGAATCTCAAAAGATTTAACAACGTAGTAGTGAAACTTGTGGCAAGGCCTGCTGGAAGCTTTAACTTATCCAGAAAACATGAAACCCATGTCACAGAAGGCAAACTAAGTCATGAGGAGAGAAATATGATCTGAACTAGGGAAAATCTCCCATGTCCATATCCTCACAGCAATATATATATGTATGTATGTATGTATGTATGTATGTATGTATGTATGTATGTATGTATGTATGTATGTTTTTTTATTTGTGCTTTTATTTGTGTAAATATAACAAAAGGCAACAGTAAAAATATTGGGTTTCTGTCGTGATGGACTCTTGTGACGAGCCGATTGACAGATGTTGGAAGCAGTTAGCTTCCTCCCATAATTGGGGCTTACCAGGGGTTGTGACACACACACACACACACACACACACACATATATATATTCGCATACTGCCAAAACAAATATCCCTATCTGCGTCTTGCACACAAAATAGGCTACTTATAGTTAAACAAATTAATTAACTCTTCCTGTCTGTGGACTGAGCTTGCCCCAACGTAGCTCCCATTTACATTACCTTGGATCAGTTGTAAACAAAGCACTTGGCTGCAATTAATTCAGCTGTTTTGTTTTTGAATGCCTCCAAAGCCCATATTAGCACCAAAGCATTTGGGAAAATAAGTTGTCCCTGGAGATTCTTTGCATTGCAGCTCACCAGCTTCCAGTTGTTTTAAAATGGATTTCATTTTTTAAAATATGAGAATGGTATGGGATCTTAGGGAGACGATTTTTTAATTTCTTAATTTAGACACTATATTGTTCTTGCTGTGGGAATGATGTACAAGCATTCCTTTTCCCAATCCAGAAGTCTTCTTTTCCCTGCGCAAACACCCAGGACACTATCTCACAACTATGTACTAGGTTTGCAAATGAAGCTTTTCCACAGGCACAGCTGTGAGCGGACTTCCTCTGCATTATCATTAATGAACAGGACTGCCACTCTAGTTCCACACTGCCTGTGATATTGCCTCCCACAGAATGCAAAATTAAACTTTCAATTCTAGGTATGAAGATGGATGATAGCACTGCACATTTCTTCTTAGCAATTCTGTACATCTGCTATTATTACCTTGAAATTTATATAAACTGATCTCAAACACAGCAGTTATATATACTCGGTATTTTTCATTAATGGAGACTTTTATAGCTGCTTTTTCAAATTCTATATGAAATGAATACTTTTAATGGTCAGTAGTATGCATCACATTCAATTTGGTTTCCCCATCCAGTAGCATGGATTACAATAGCAGCTACTCTGAGCCAATCAATTCTATTTCCCTTTCCTGATTTCTGCCCCAATCTATGCCATTCAACCATCGCTATAGGAGGAGGAGGGGAACATGTGGTTCTTGTCAATGAACCATGGTTTTCAGCAGCAAAGCCAATGGTGTGCAGCTGGAATTGAATTTCAACACATGCAGGGCCTGAGGTTCACCAATGCTGCTGCAGTAATTGCAGACTTGGTGGCCAAAGTTATGACGGACCCAAAAAGAGGACATAAGACAAGATTCTAAATTTCAATGGTTATCCCCCTATTCTGCAGTCATAGGAATGCACTTTGGGTGCTTGGCAACACAGCTGCTTTACAGCTGTTTGCAGCATCTTGCAATCACATGACCACATTTTATGTCAGTTTTGCCCCATTTGCTTTATGGCCGATGGAAAAAAGGGTTGCAAAATTGGGTCATTCATGCGACTGACCTGTTTTATGACTTCATGAGTTAGAATTATAATGGGTAGTCTCCATTATGGTCATAACTCAATAGCTACCTGTACAGATTAATTGCCCATTGTGACCCTGAAGTCACACATAGACTATAGGCATCTGCTGACATCATTATTTTTTTCTGTTACAATAGTTGCATAGTAAAAAATATTCTATTAACATAATTGATTTCACAATCTGGAACACAAGCAAAGCAACTGCAACAGCTAATCTGCGTGAGGCATTATAGCCTTAATTCTCAAAGATGCATACAAATAAATTTATTTTCAAAACAAAAAGTGAATTGCTGAATTTCTTCAATGACATAAATTAATTTTCCAACTTGCAATCAACACATTGTATTATTCCCCAAATGACTGTGAAACACAACATCAGGCAGACATGCCCTTGAATTTTACTGGAGGAGGGATGTGCAGGTGGCCACAGCAGCACAGCCTTAACATCTCACATCATTTGGCAAGACAGAAAACAGATGACAGATCCTTTAGCTTAAGTATTTTGTGGTAACTCTACAATTTACAAATAGTTCTTCTGCTACTTGCAGACATTTCTAAAGGCAATTCTGTAAATATATCTGTCTTAATGGTTGATTCAATATATAAAGGTCATAGAACACAATAGATACTGCATCTCCCTAACCCCCCAGTATCTGATTGTGCCAAAAGGTGGCCATTGATGTCTCGGGAAAATGCAACAACGGAATCATGTTGAGATCTTGTAAAAGAAAAAAGAATGTTCCCACATGGAAAATCCATCTTCTCCTGGATACTTAGATCGGAAATACAGTTCATTACCGTGTAGTTTTCTGATTGCTTTTGTCCTTGCAACTATCTCATTGTAAAAAAATAGCAGAGGTGGGGAAGAAAGCCCTATCTCTGAACTCTGTAAATAACTTAGATTGACTTGATATGGCAATGGCAAGCAGCATGTGAAAGATTGTTGAGCAATCAGAAACAATGGCGGAGCTGAAGAGTCAGAGGTCTGGAGAAGAAGGGTAAGAATAGTATCCATTTTCCTGCAGAGAAGGGGGGAAAAACATTAACACCATGTATACAAAGAAATCACATTCAGGTCTTGTTAAATGAAGAGCTGTGGAACCTCTATGTGTTTAATTCCACAGATAGCATTCTGGGCCAAGTGACTGCCATTTAATGTAGGGGGATGAAGTCCTGTCATCTGAATTGAAGTGTTTTATTCCTAAACAGATTGGAGAACTAGAAAAGTTTAGATATTATGGGCCAGGCTAGATTGCGTTGCTTAACCCACCACACGATAAATTGAATATTGTACAAATATCGCTTTTAACTGTCCTTTCTTTTCATTTTCATTCAGGTTTCCTTCTTTCTCCAACTGCAGGGAACCTCCAGTTTTCTTTTTAGGTATTACCCTGCCTAGCCACAGGAGAATATATATGAAAAATGAGTCAGGAAGTGGTGTATCCATGCTAAAAACAACAGCTGCAAGATCTTTCCAGTGAAAACAAAGGAATGTGCTAGAGCAGAGAAATGAAAAGAAGCTACAACACACTGGGAATGCATCAAGGGAAGGTGGGTCACAGACAATAATTTATTTCCATTTGCTTTCTTTAAAAGTGAAAACTAGTGAAGTGCTTTCACTTGCATCTTTCCATACTGCTACAAGAAAAACCATTGTGCTTTTAGAGTAACCTGTATAAAAGCATGTGCCACAATGTACATTGTAAGATTTCAAAAAATGAAACACCCAATAAACTACACTGTAAATGAAGTCCAGGAACCTTAATTTAGAAATTAATGGGGAGGGACGGGACGGGACGAGACAGATGAAGTAGGAAGGAGAGGAGACACAATGTCATTTGGGATAAAGAACAGCTTGTTAAAATGCACTTTATGTTAGACAACAGTTATCTACTCCATACTATTGTGTTTCATGCCTTTATTTCCTCCTATGCACTCATTAGGTTTTGTAATGGAGCTCATTCAAGATGACAAGAGCTATAGAATTCAACATTTGCTAGGTTATATATAATAACAGCCTCCTATGAAGTACAGCTTTGTGCTCTAAACATAAGCGCTCATCTATTCTCTAGATAATGTGTTCTTACACCAATACAATGTGTATTTTCAACAATACACAAAACTGTTCCGCAGCGTATTCTTTCAAAGGCTCAAACAATCCAAGATGGCCTTCAAGTCTTAGCTGTTTCAAAAGCAAAACACCAGGCATCTTTGTAAACTAAGTGAAAGAAACGTTTCTTTACCCTCCCTCTGCTTCATGAAATCCAAAAGACATGGAAGAGTGCCAAACTAATTCACCTACCCTGATGTCATATTCAAGAACAAATGGAGGAAAGTCAATTTGTTCAGGGGGTATTGCTGCGAACAACTGCTGGAGGCCTTCTACATGGTGAACTTTGTCCTTTAGACCTGAGACAGTAAAGGTTGTGAAGAACCAGGTTGAAACCTAAAGGGAAGAACAGGGAAATTAATGCTGCTTCTACAAATTCTTTGACTACAGATGATTTCATCATCTTGAAGTTATGAGACATGCAACAGAAATGTACTTAATACAATACCGTTAAGTGCACCATGCAAGTTTTTAAAGCAAAACAGACAAGTTTTCCTTCCCAACCCAACTGCTTTTTAAGGTTGACAGTACAGAGAATATGTCAAGGATAAGGAGAGAACAGCTTGCTATAAATGTAAATAATTAGGTTTGTATGGGTAATTTGTTTTACAAAAAGCTTTAATTGCTTGCTTGCTAGTTAAGCTTATATTCCTCCAAGAGTCTGTGGTAGCCAAAGTGGTCCACCATGCCAGGATGCGTAACCTCAGCAATATCATTCAATACTTCAGGAGCGCACTTTTATGATTGCATGCAAAATTGTACATTTTCCACCTGGAGATGGCACACTTCACCTTCGAGCGAAATGTTGGATGGACAAAATACAACGCCTTCAGATTTCTTTTGTACCTGGTTAATAAGAAAAGAAGTTTCTTAAATCTTAAAACATTTAAGTAATGACATGATACCACCCAACTAATTCACAGAACTGGCTTACTCTTAGCATCCAAGACAAGATTGACATTTTTGGATATCAGGACAGGAACTGAAACTCTGATTTTGCAAAGAAGCCTTATCTCAGTTTTCACAGCAAAGTCCTACACTCGCCCTCATCGTGCTTTGGTATTTATTAAGTTTATGTCCCCTGCCCCTCCCCCCTATTATATACACTTGCACGAAAGCTCATCTGTGAATAAGCTGATCCTTGAATTTTTAATCAACTTACTGTCAAAACTGCATTACCTGCAGATAAGTTGACCTACATTTTTTGTGGTATTTTGATTAAAAATTAAAGACTCGGCTTATCCATAGATGGGTTTGTACCTGAAAATATATAAAAAGTATGGGTAGTTTAAAATAGTATTATTATATATAGTCTCATATAAGCTCATCTGATTTTGTGGTGCATTTTGGCATCTGAAATTCTCAGCTGACTCATAAATATCTACAGTACATTATTTAAAGCAAGTTTTCTTGTGCTTTTTAATCACAGATGCCAATACAGAGAGACAGCTCCAAGACCTTTGAATATAAAACTTACCTCACATCGACAATGTCAGAGAGCTTCTTCAAGAAATCTGAGTCCAAGTGATTGTAGACATTAGTAAGTGTATGGAAATAGACAATAATATATTCTTTCGCTACAATATGATCCATCACATGGATAAAGTACAAGAGAGCCTGAAAAAAACAACACATTTATTTTATCAGAGACAAAATGTGGCTTCCCCTCTTTTTCTGTAATTCTACAATAGTACTGGGGAAAATAATTTCCTCAACAGAAAGAAAATAGTACATTTTGTTGAGCTAAATGGCTTTCCTCTGTCCTCAGGAATAGCAATGAGTAAGACACAGTGCATTTAGAACAAAAGATATTAGACCCTCCTCTCAGCTATGAAACTGATCTGATAGCCTTGCCTATGCTTCAGCCTATTCTGTCTTGCAGGAATTATTAAAATTTTATCCCATCTTTTTTATATATAACTCAAGGTAGCAAACATAATCCCATAATGATCCTATTTCCCCACAACAATCCTGCAAGGTGGGCTAGGCCAAGAAGTACAACTGGCCCAAAGCCCACCAACAGTTCTCACGACAGAGGAGGTGGTGGTGGCTAGAACTCACCCTTTCTGGGTTTCTAGCCTAGCACCTTCAGCAATGCATCAAACTGGATCCCTTTTACGCTGATAAAATAAGCGTGGAACCCACACTTCATTTCTGCAGACTTTTGGAGTTCTCCTTCCTTTTATATGTGGAAGGGAATTCCTACTCTGGACTGGAGAAATGAAGTGGGAATTTTCACAATCCCCTCTTTGTTTTTCCAGCCCAACACAAGAGTTTCTTTCCCCTGTGTGTGCTGGGCTGGAGAATCGAAGCAGAGATCCTGAAGATCCAAACTTAGTTTCTGCAGTCCAAATGATTTTATGAATGGAAATGAGTGGAATTTTTTTGGTAGCCAGCAGCAGACTGCAATCCTCCCTGCTAGCTTCCCCTTTGACTTTCTGGGGAAGCCAGCAGAGAAGCCAGCAAACAATCACATGATTGGAAGCACTTGTCAACTGGTCATAAGTATGACCAAGTTGAGAATTAGCTGTAACTGCACTCCTCCTTGTAGAAAATTAAAGTACTGTTAATACACAGTATAGAACATCTATTATATGTACACAAAGTTTATAGCAACTGCAATTTGTCCAGGTCACAGATCTATAGTCTTGGCAAAACCATCTATGATTTTTGTAATGGGATGTTTGCAAAGTTGACTTTGGAAATGGTTCTAAGCTTCATTTGGTGAGTAATGAATGGAAACTAAATTGCAAACTAATAATGGGCATTCAGATGAAACTGTTGGTTTTTGGTCAGCTTTGGGAATAATTAAAAAATGCTTCACTTATAATAGTCTGTGTGGCTATGGATCAGTAGGTCTCAAAGTACATTCTGCTGAGGCAAAACTGCTTGCCTTATAGAAGTGTCTTCTGAAGCAGTCGTGTAGGCCAGTGGTCTCCAACCTTGGCAACTTTAAGACCTGTGGACTTCCAGAGTTGAAGTCCACAAGTGGTGTAGGCTCTCCAAATCTTGGAATGTCAGTTGTGCCCAGTGTGAGTTCTTATTTTCAGTCTCAAATGAAAACCTTTTAAAATGTCCTTTTAAGGATGAAGAATGAACCTGGATGTACAAATATGGTTTCTTAAAATTCTAAAATAATAACTGTTATCACTATTGAAATACTTCTCAGGATCTTACCTTCTCCATGTCTATAAGGGTAACAGGAATATTCCTTCCAACAACTGCCATCACTGTACGACCACAGTTATCAACTCCTATGAACAGAATGAACATCAGGACCACATTTCAGATTCCAGAACTTAGAATACATATACACCCATACACATACAGCCACCCCAAGTCAAATCAGCTACATCAGTTAATGCAGTATTGCAGGCTAACTCTGCCCACAGACTGGAGTTCGATCTTGACTGGATCAAGGTTGACTCAGCATTCCATCCTTTTGAGGTCAGTAAAATGAGGACCCAGATTGTTGGGGCAATATGCTGACACTGTAAACCATTCAATGAGTGCTGCAAAGCACTATAGAGTGATACATAAGTGCTAGTGCTATTCTCACTGAATATGTAAACAATTAAAACTATTACAATTTTGATTATGTAGCTACTGTAACTCTCAAGAAAAATTAACCATAAGTAAACTCTTATAGGCTAAATTTCTCATTAGTAGCATTAAGATGCAAGATTCACTGCTTCTTTCTTTGCACACTCATCATGCAAGAGTCACAGGCATTTAATTTGACCTTAAACATACCTGTTTGGTACAATGCTTTAAGTGAGGCAATATCTGACAGGTCCTCAGCTCTTGCTCGACAAAGCCAACGGTTGTAACTAAAAGGCAACCACAGAGAATTGCAAAATAGTTACAGTAGCACAATTAGCATAAACATCAAACCAGATACTATGTATTCTCTGCCAAATATCCTAATGCATTTCTTACTTAACTTAAAAAGGAAACTAATTATAAAAGCATTGTACTGGAAACAACCAAACAAATATCAGACATCTTCTGCATGCCAACCTTAAAAAGTCTGTCCAAAACCCAGTAGCAGTTCACTATTTCCCCTTTGAAAGGAAAAAAAATGAAATCTACTAGAGCAGAACACTATCCTGTGACCAGAATAAGTAAGTACACTGCTCTCCAGCACCCACAACCCCAAAGGATGAAAACGAATAACCTGCAAACAGGAGAGGGACTTTGGTAAAAAGTGCCTTACTTTCTCTGATGTTGTTTCTGTAGTGCTGCCTCAGACAGTTGTCCTTGAAGGGTAAGACGCCTCTGTTTATCAACATCTCCCTCCATTCGAGCAAAAGCATGCGAACCAATAAATGAGAAGTCTGCTTCTAGCTCCTCTTCATCAGAATTATCTGCAGAAGATATTCCAGGATAATGAAGGGTCCGTCCCTGAGGATGTCATATTACACATGCAACACAGGAAAACGAGGGGCCATTTGAATGAAAACAAATTGCAGTTAGAAGAGATTCTATGGCAAAACATCAGAGGTTAGTAGCAATTCTTTTTCTGGCGCAATCTGAACTGATGAAATATTACCACTTACAGTTTACAATACATTGCAAGCTTTGAATAGGTCAAGTGGATGACTGTGGAGAGCAAAAAGCAGCAGTAGTGCTGAACACTGGATAGCCCGTGAAAGGTGACTCTCCCATCAAGCCTGTCTGAATTTCTCTCTCCATCTGGTTGAAGTGAGAGATATGATCAGCTGAAGACTGGATTATAAATTTAACTGAACTTGCAGAAATGACAAAACTGACCAGATTGGTCAGAGGAAAAAATGAAAATAAAATCTTTTTGAAAGACTGGGAACTTATTTGGACTTTTTGTTGAAAGGAGAAAGGATCAATTCGATGATTTCAGGATTTGAAGAGGAAAAAGGGATAAAGATGGCAGGGGAAAAGTTAAGATGATAATTATTCAATACAAAAAAGGGTAGAAGCATAATACCCTTTTCGTTACTTTCTAACTTTTTATTTTATTTGTTAAACTCTTAGTTATAAAACCAAGCCTATATAAACTAACTTTGAAAAGTGGCTCAGGATTAAATTAATATGGAAATATAATTTATATTAATAATAATGCTAAATGTAAAACTCACAGCCCTTTAAGGTTGGTTGCTTGTTTTAAGTCTTCTGCAAGTTATTTTGGCACAGATGCAGACTCACCCTCTGGAGCACCAGGCTTTTTACAAATTCTAATCTGACGTTCGGGCACAACGGGCTCCCCTTCTGCATTTCCTATATCTTCAGGAAGCAAAGGCAGGGACTCTCTCTCCTCGGCAAGTGATCTTGGAAAATAAAGAGGCAGCATCTTCTGATACGTAGGCTGTAGAAAAGAGAATTTGAAAACTGACTCATCTTGCATTTCACTTCTTCAGGGCAAAATTGAAATCAAGAAGAGTATTAACTCATGTTAAAATGAAATCACTGGTCATACCCATACTGTATAAATTCATCAATATCAGCTTTTCAACGTGTAGATAATTTCTCTTTCAATTTCAATTTCTGATAGAAATAGAATCCTTGTTCTTTTCAGCTTAGAAAATTAACTTCTGCAACTATCTGAAAATTCAGCTGGCATATGGTAGGCGTCACAGTGTGTCCAGTGTGCCAAAACTTCTTCTGCTTTCATACATATGCAGAAACAGTCAAGTTGGCTTGTTTATGAGGGAGATGGGCTGTTAAGAAGTGCATGTGTTTGTGCATGCGCACGCACGCATGCACACACACACACACACACAGAGTGATAAAATTTGAAGATATCCCAACATAACACCCAGATGACAAGTTCCCATTTTTCTGTTTGAAGCTAGAAAGGAGGTGTCTGGCTCTTTCCAAATCACTGTGTGCACCTCTGAAGACAATCTAATCAACCCCCAAATTTTCATTTTAGTATTAACTGTCTTAAAACTAAATACAGACATATGTCAATATCAGCTGTGTTTAGTGCTTCTGAAGTTCTCAGCATGCCTTAAAATGCATAACCAAAACCCGCCTGTTTTTACAACTCTATTTGGTGTCATAAATGGGACTGTCCCAACTTTATGAGGCATAGTAGAAGGTTGATACCATCTTAATACTTTTTTGTAGAGAGGGTACAATGTACTAGCGTTGTTTTTAAAAAGCCAATAATTTCGTTTGTAGTGCAGGCTTTAAAGAAAGTGAAACAGCTTTATAGAGCAGCTTATCACAAGTCTAAGCCTTTCTTGGTACATGTCACTTCCATATTGTGGACAAAATTGACACGATGATGCCTCCATTAACAGAGATAACACAATGAGTAGCACTAGTTCACAATTCTCTTCCTGCAGGGAATGTATGATCTGGTGTAGAAAATTACTAAATTTCCAAACACCACCTACCCAGAGGATCTAAATTGGATTAGGATTCAACTTCACCCTATTTGCTGAATCACAACTGCTTAAAGGCACTGGTCTTGACTGTGTGGAGTAGTAACTGTCACTGTCACTCTTTGAAATCAGCCCTTCAGATGAGAAGGAAGCACTGCAAAACAGTATCTTCTACCTCTGCTCACAGGGAGGAGGATACTATGGTTACTGACATAAAAAACCATGAGAAATCAAAGCAACTTCTCAAAGATATAGGAAAACAATTGAGAAATGAAGCATATCTTAGGAATAGCAGAGGAGTCTCCTAAAACACACATATACTGACAATGATAATTTCCCAACTCTTTATATTATGGAAAATTGTAGCCAATACCAAGTAGGCATTTGCAAACATTTTTTTAGATCACAGAACGTTTTACAGAATTGGCAACATGTAAAAAGCTGCAACTGTGACCTAAACCTAGAACTGTATTGGCATTCCTTCCTTCAACATTTATTTTGTGTGGATGTGTTTTTTAACTGAGGAAAGATTCTTAAGCCAGTACATTCAGAAACAGGGATTGCTCATCTAAAAGCCTTTCCATGCAATTTTCACCACATCTTAACATAATGAGAGACAGGCAGCTTTAATATGTTTGGATGCAGAGAAGGCCTTTGACAACTTACATTGAGGCTTTATATGTAAAGTACTGGAAGATATGGATTTTGAGCAAAGAAATATTAGAGTAGGATTCATACAGAAGATTATTAAAGTGACTGTAAAGATAAAACCAGAGCAGCAAGATTACTTTATGCACAAACATGGAAGGACACTTTGATTCCCACAATGGATAAATGGCTACAAAAGTTGATGGGAGTTAGCAGAGATGGCTAAATTGACTGTTTTGATTAAAGAAAAGAATATAATCAATTTTATTTCTAGTTGGAAACAGTTTTTCGAATTTGTGCTTGAGATGGAAATGAAACTTGATTTTGAGTTTTACTGATTAGATAGGTTTGGCATTAAAGAAATGGCAAGTATATATTATTATATAAAAGTAAAAAAGGTTTTGTGTTATTACCTTATTCTACTGCACCAAAAGGAGTTGGAAGTCAATGTTTTCTTTTCTCCCCTCTATCCTACACTTTCTTATCTTCCCTTTTCCTCCCCTATTTTACCTTTATTTTCATTTTCCTTATATTTTGTATTTGATGTTTTGATCAACTAATAACAATTTTGAACCCCAAGCCATTCTATTTTCATCACATCTTGCTTAAGAACAGTAACTATATTATTTGATATTAAGCTATAGCAGTTAGCAATAGCAGTTAGACTTATATACCGCTTCATAGGGCTTTCAGCCCTCTCTAAGCGGTTTACAGAGTCAGCATATTGCCCCCAACAACAATCCGGGTCCTCATTTTACCCACCTCGGAAGGATGGAAGGCTGAGTCAACCCTGAGCCGGTGAGATTTGAACAGCCGAACTGCAGAACTGCAGTCAGCTGAAGTAGCCTGCAGTGCTGCATTTAACCACTGCGCCACCTCGGCTCTTGTGCAGTTATGCAGTAACATGTTTGCTCACATTTTTTTAAGCTTTCTTCAATTATAAAGTATTCTCCATTTAGCACTCACTCAATAGTCACTGAAGAACAGCCCCCCACCGTTTCGGCACCAGAGAATTTTTTCTGTGGACCAGAGGGGGTGTGGTTTCATGTGCTGCCTGCATCCTGTGGATGGTGTTTCACTTGTTTGTGCGGACCAGTTACTGGTATGCCGCGGACCTTGCTGGTCCACAGACCAGGGGTTGGGGACCCCTGCTTAAGAGAACACATGGAATTCAGGGTTTAAGGAATGTGGATCTGTTTCCCCTGTGCCTACAGTGGTACTTGTTAATTAAACCGAGAAGGCGCAACAAGTACTAAAAATGACAAATACCAAACAAACCATGTGACTAATGCGTGGCACTTTCTGTTGGCTGGAAAGGGTAGCGAGTCACAAGGCAGCCGACACTGACAAATCCTAGCCTGCGCATCGAGTACCAAACAAACGATGAGTACTGGGACAAAATGTTTATGTCAAAATATGTTAAGTACCAAATTTGCCAAATTTCAAAGCAGTCAAGTACTAAGACTCCATTGTAGACTAATATTTTCTGTATTACGCCATATTTCATACAACAAGAAATCAGCATCACTTGATTAGTGAGTTACATTTTCAACACATTTTAGAAATAAAACATAAATCTACTTCTTCACTATAGTTAAGATCAACAAAGGAAAGGGCTCACTAATTTTTATCCACTTTTGAATCAGAATACTGAAGCAAAACCCAAGCATCTATGAATTAATGAAATGAGAGTTCTTTAGATTAAGTTTATTATATATTTCAAAAGAAAGCTATAAGAAAAAACAAGTATTATAACTGCACAGTTAATGCTTGCAAACAAGTTATTTTACATACCTCCTCAAGATCAGAAACGGCAAACACTACTTTTTCAAGGCTTTCCCCATGAATTTCTAAAAATCGTCGGATTGTACCTAGTGGTAGAGGAAATGTCAAGAAAAACGAGTCAGAAAAATGAGAGGGAGACAACATTTAAGCCTATCATATAGGAGGAATAATAATTAAATAACAAATGAAATAATATGAAATAGCAGAAATACCTAAAGTGCTTGCAGGAATGATTATCTAACTTTTCCTTGTGATCTACTTAGCACCACAGGGTAAAAGCAAATCCTTTCTTATTGCAAGGAGTTGCTGGTTCTCTAATAAGCCTACAGATGTTGATGATAACACTGTGCAGGACCAACATTACTCCCCTTTCCACCCCATGGAATGTAGTGGGAGGAAAGGGATCCATTCCAGAGAACTAAGGTACAACTCAGTTCAGATAGCATGAGAAAAAGAGGGTTAAGACAACCCCTCCCTAATAGTTCCTAAAGTACATGCTTCATGTAAATAGTAGTCTGCTTCAGTTTAGTACGATTCTGCCTATAGATGTAAAATAATACAGAAATCTTCTTGGAAGAACCACTACAGGTCCTTATTGGTTTTTGGTGGCTCACGTGCCCCACTTGGGGCTGATTTTTGAGGGGTGAAATTGACTTTTGATAGTCGGATTCACAGAGAAGTCATCATTTTACCATATTTATATTCTACCTTTCCTCCACAAGCTGAAATTGGCATAGAATTGGTCTTGCCTAAAATGATTCATAGAGAAACATGTAACCTAAGAGAAAGATAGCCAAGCAAAGTCATTAAGAGCACTCAATATCTGAATGCTGCCCCCCCTCCCCTCTCCTCCACATTTAACACCTTAACTACCTATACTATATTGGCTCTCACATCTCATATCTATTTCTCATTTACTTAGCCCCCTAATTCCTCCAAATGAAACAGCACCCACTGTGGAATTCTTGAAACGGAGGATAATCTGTGCCTCAAAGTTTACCCACACCTCTATTATTTTATCAATGGATGAAAGGCAGCATTTCAGGAATTGTAATCTTATTCTCATATTAATTGTCTAAAATATTCTTTTTTTAATCAAAACAGAAACCATGCAAAAGAGATCTGTGGGTAGTAGAACTACACAACAAATAGAGAAGTCAATAGACAGGAGCATCTGCAGAATCCAGATGTTTTATTAGAATGCTCAAACAAGTGTTGCAGAGCAAGCCCTGCCCTTTACATTTACACATGTGATATTGCAACATGTGTATAAAAGGGGTAGAACTCTTGTTGTAATTCTATTCATCATTGGCACTCTTGCATAATTACTTTTTGTTTATATCCCACCTTTATCATTTTTTAAATAAACAACTCAAGGTGGCGAACATTTCTAATATTCCTTCTACCCTGGTGCCTGAACCACCGGACCAGACTGTAGAATGATTTTCCCATCGCCAGAAGTTTTTAGAAAGGTGGATAAGACCTAGTTCTTTCCCTGGGCCTTTGGACAATTTGATGAGCTACAGAAGAATGTCAGTTTTAACAGCCACTGTTTTGTTTAATGCATTTTGTATTGGTTGATTATTATTATTTTTTCTTTTTCTTGTATGCTGTCTAGAGTCACATGATCTGGCCACAGATACCTTAGTAAACAAATAAAGCAAGTATTATTTTTAATTTATTTTTGTAAAATAAATGACCCAATTGAGTGCCAAATTCTAAAATAATACAATTGTGTTATTATATATTTTCCCCATTTGCATTTTATAAAATACAATAAATAACAATGTCTACCCATGCTGGCGATGGTAAAACTTTTGAAGGTTGATGCCAGTCAACCTGATCTAACCTAAATAAAGTATGTGGGTCCAAATATTAATACAGAAGTATATTAATGTATTCCTTGAAATGAAATCGAGAAGAGTCCACAACCATGAAATTATTACTTGTATGTATTGATAATTTTTATATCTTTATGACTGAAATATAATGCATTTTGCTCAACAAAATCTTTGGTGTATACTTTTAGATCAGACATGGTATCTCATAACCTACACATTCACATTGGCCATCATTTTGGGGAGAAATGGGAAACAAGGGAAGGAACAAAAATCAATGTAAGGTAAAAATGTGTGAATTTTTAAAGAGATAGAAAGATGCACAATAAGCATAATCAACATAATCTGACTCTTTACATTCCTTTAATACCACAGTGTGGGGTGATTATATATGCCATATATATGGGATAGAATATCTCATAACACAAAATAAGAAAAAATTCAACCTTATATAATTTAATCACTTGCACGTGTGACCAGACCTCTGGAGAAAAAAATCAAAATTTACCTCTTCTGGGCAATTGCCCACCTACTCTTGATCCACCATTCTATAACACTTACTCATGTATATGATCACATATTCTTTCCTTGCCTCCATTATTTTTTTCTCCTTCTGCGGTCTATTTTTGCTCTACAAATAGATTGCTTCAAGACAGAGAGATTTGATCTCTGAAGTATCAGTTATATAAACAGCCACCCCTTCAAGGATACTTACGCAATGCTATGTGAGTTGCATCCACTAAAGGATAACCACGTTTCACAGTGTTTATCACGCAGAATCCCACTGAGGACATTGCTTGTTCCCTAAAATAACATCGGTAAAAAATAATTTCAGCAAGGCGTAAGAATGTCAATTCTACTACATCAAAGCATAGGCATGCCAATTTCCTTTATGTATTTATTTAGGACAGAACAGCTATAGAACCATTAAGAGTTGGTTCTATAACCATTAAGGATAGAACTCTCAATGGTGATTAAGATCAAAGCTGGTGGCTTATTCCTAATTTTTTTGGGGGGTGGGGGAAGCAGGTCCTTTGGCCTACTTACAGAATTAAAAATGGAAGAACAATCAAAGATGATTTAAAAAATATGTATTCTGGATAGAGAAAATGGTTGTTTTGAAAACTGTAGGGAAGTTACAAAATTTTAAAGAAGGAATGCAAGAACTAAAATTACACAAACATCATCTTAGCCCTTAAAGTGTAGTGAGTGAGAAAGAAATATAAGATTATCCCATGTTGATTCTCTTTGATAAAAGAAAGCAGTAACTTTCAAGTTTCTGTTCTTATACCCTGCAGCAACAGAATTCTAGTCTGTTTCCTGGTCTGCACTAATTCAAAAGGGCTGGCAAAAAAAAGTGTCATTTGAATTTCTTCCTCTTTCGTGTTGTTCTTAGATATCGAGATAGGGAGAGACAGTATTACAATATGAAGGGGAAGTACACTCACCCACACTAACATGCATTATAACCATTCTTGGTTTAATAGTTCACCACTTAGTGTTATTTATAAAAAAATAATAAAGGCAGGATACAAATAAATAAATTCTGATATAGCAAAAGGTAGAATTTGGATCAAAATTCTAAAATTCTAAAAATGTGGCAAAACCGAACAGATAAAAAATAAAATTATATGCAAATTCCTCAAAGGAGGAAAGTAAAAGCAAAAAAACATTAAACATTACAGGATTTAAAAAGAATAAAAGGAAAATAAATGTTCAACTATTCTAGATGGATAAAATGGTTGCGCTGATGTAATTATCTGATTTTACAAACTAAATTCAAACAAAGTTATAATGAATTAATTTCAATTTAATATGAATTTGAATATGAATCTTTCTACTTTAGATCCCTTGGGCAAACTTACCACTAGTCCCATCCCATCCAAAAACAATGACCAGTGATTCAATACTGGCCTAGATTAATAAAATACTGTAAAGGCAAAAGGAATTTGAAAGGAATTTGAGAAAATTATACACTAAGAACATTCAGATGAGCCTAATTTAGCAGTAATGACTCAGTCTAGGTAAACCATAATCGTGACTGACTCCAGAAATTATTGAGTCCTAGATCTAAGATTAGGAATATTACTGAAGCATCTCTCATATTTAAAAAATGTGGAATAACTTGTAAATCAGAAAAGGTTTGCATATCATATTCTGAGGAGTGGAAAAAAGGCATTACATATCATGGTAAGCCATAATGTGCTTGTTTGATTTTGTCTTAGAATGTTTGAACCAAGTTACTGTGATTTATGAACCACAATTCATAGCTTAACATAACATACAAGTAACTAAACAACAAAGAATAAGGGATGTGATCTGCAAGGGGACACAGACGTTGATTGGGACTGGTATTTAGTTCTCATCAGCCCTAAATTAAAATTTAATAGGCTCCAGGCTCTGCAGCACTGGGGATACTTCTGGTGATTTCTTTCTTTCAGGAAAGGAAGAAAGGGTTAACTAGGCAAAGTACTGATATGAACACTCCTCCCTTTTCCTGTCCTCCACATCACACTTAATACTTTTGTTTCATTCCTATCTGTTGTTATACTCTGTTGCTCAGAGGAATATGCATACTTTTTGTAGTCTATTCCTAAAATTGGACAATTAATATTTGGGGTGGGTGGAGAGGACAGTTAAAATTGCAGAAGTACTTAAGAGGAAGGTGGTAGCATATGTCTGTAAAAGTAATTTCACAATATGCTAGATTAAGAGATACAGGATGTAACAGCTGTGGTTTCTGAGCTATTTGCAGGTGTTTATTAGCCCATTTAGGTCACACTTATTTCTTTCAAGAAATAATCGTTTAAATTGGCATCTGGGCCAAAAATACAAATAAAAAAGCCAGATTCATGCAATTATCCCAGAAACATTTCCCCAAATATGGAAAGTAGCTATATCCTGATCAAGTAGAGCCAGGAAAAAATTAGATTGTTGCCATCTTGTTGAATTTGGAGTGTAGAAGGATTGGTAGATCTCACTCATGAATCATTGCACGGAAAAATGATTTAACATTAATTTTGAATTAATGTGAAGTCAAAAACCTGTGCATTTGGTAGTTTACATCCCTTTCCTTGAGTCCTTTGATAACTTCTTTGCCCTTTATCCTCACCAATGCATCTTCCTCAGTGTTTTGTTGCTTGCTGTATCTATCACCACCTGTTAATAGGTTGATTCTTCAGAGCAGCCATTTTTTGATAACACCCGTGATACCTTTGCAACATTTAAGATACTGTACACTGTCCTTTTTTAAGGCCCATTTTGAAGGCCTCTGTTTTTACACTGGTTGCAGGCTACATGAATTCCATAGTTTGCATGCAATGCATGTTTTTGGGCGTGTAGAGAAGGTACTTGCCTGTCAAAGAAGAGACATGCTTACTTTGCAAATTGAAGGATGTTGCGGTAGCAGCTATACAAAGAACTCTCTGCTGCTGTTCGGTATCGGCTTTTATATTTGGGTCCCACAGTATGAATGATGAAGCGGGCAGCAAGATTAAACCCCTTGGTCATCTTTGCTTCCCCTGTCCGACAACCTAATAAAAAACCAGAACAAGACGAGCAATGTCAAACCAATGGCAACCCAAGCATTTTATTTTTAATTTAGAACCCTTTATTCGATATCCTTTATACTCCTGGATGAGCTTGGGCCCAGGGACAATCCATTTTCTCAAGGGGCCACATGAGAATCTGGGACTGTTGTGGAGGACAAAGTCAAAGCTCCCACCCCCAACTCCACGCGGGTCCAACGGGGACAGCCCACGGACTGGATATGGCCCGTGGACTGTAAAATGCCCAGGTCTGTTATACACTATAGCCACTTTTTTGTTGTTGTAAAAGTCATCCTGCTATAACTATTTGTTAGCTGACCTTGGATTTATGGAAATTATAAACTAACATTGATAGATGGAAACTGTCTGGAAAAGTCTAGTTTAGGATTGCAAGGCTTCTAATGCCAGGTCAACTTTTGATAAAACATCTTGAATGAAAATACTGACCTGGCATTTATTACAAGGTCAGCTGGAGGAAAGAGGAAACAGAGTTATTCCTAGCACTGTCTACCAGGTTACACCAGATGCAATAACAAGAATCTACAAGTCTATCTCACTGACCAGAAATTCCATCAAGTGGGATAGGTCTGAGTACTTGCTATTGAATTTGGATGGCTCTAAAACATGATGTTTGTCTACTTTTCACGAACTGTACAAGAGTCTCTTTGCCTGCACTAGAAGGAGTAATCTGAGCTTGCAATGCAATACTCTAGACTGTTTGTTCCAAGAGACTTAAATGACTATTTCAGGTCACTCGTTAGTGGTTCAGGTTTTCTGTCCAATCAGACAATCATAGACCTTTTTCCAGTTGAAAATTGCATTTCTTGCTTCAGCGTCCATTTTTTTCTTTAAAACTTGAAATATCTCCCCAGAATCAAGTTTCTATTCTAGAAAATGAAGAAAACTAAACACCTCTTCCAATAGTTAGTAATTTCCTTCCCATTTATTTCACATATTACCTAGGTGATAATGAATTTCTTGCATAAAGATGGTCATTTAGTTTTTAAAAATGCAATTGTGGCTAAGTAATTTGTGACAAAGGTTGTGGCTCTTGGCATCCTTGACCTCTGCCGCCATTTATCCTGAAGTACCTAACAAAGGGAAAAAAGAATCACTGAAGCAAAGCTCATTTTATGCAAATTAACATATTATTCTGACCTTTAAGTTTCTGTAGTTCAACTTTTAAGTCAGGTCCTGCGTGCATGGAGATACTTTCAGAGACTGGATTTTTATCTGTGAGGGACTCATTGCTGGTGTTTACTATAGCTGTGCAGTTCAGCAATGCTACGTTGCCTCTCCTTTGAAAAGATTACAATTCATTAACAATGCAGAAGAAATAAAAGTAGAATCAAAGATATCTGCATATAAAAAGGAAGTTCTCCATCTAGTTATTTGTTTCCCATAGCAGTACTGATTAACCAGGTAGACACCAATGGAAACATTGCCAAGATCTCCAAATTTTAACATCTGACTATTCTCAGAAAATACGTTTTAATTCCTTTCTCCTTTTAGTCTTTTTATAGAACACTATACCACCTAGACAACTACTACACTATGAATAGAAAAATAGCCATATCAAAAACATGCACTTTAATTGCCCTAAAATATATTAAGGCTATGGAGGCCCTCAAAAGAGAATGTACACTTTTAAAATGAAAACTGAATTGAAAGAGGCCAAAAAATACATTCATATTTATAAATGAGAAGGATTAAGAAGATAAGCAGAGCATGACTCCTGCAGAGGTTATAAGAAGCGCTGTTTTCTTCTGGAAAACAAAGCACCTGTTTATGTATGCCTCTGCTTTTCTGACATTTTGCATCTGCATTTGGACACTGAGCAACTGTCTTATGCAGTCACATAATCACCATTTCAGCTCCCAACAAACAAAATCAATGTGGAAGACTTTAAGAGGTTGCAAATTATGGGTTGCACTTTAAATGTTCAATGACCCAAATAAAAGGGTGATAATGTGACCAATGACCCTGTGAGTTTACCTAAGGATGGCAACTGAATTTATTGGAACTGCCATTGGATTTTGGCATAGTCATGTGATATCATGCCTTATGACTGCATCACTTAGCAACATAGCTCCCATTCCCAATATCCATTGGTAAGAAAGCCTGTTTCATGCAGAATCACATAATCAGGAGAGAGAAGAGAGAGAAGTCAATAGCCTTTCAAGTGGCTGCCCAAATGCCTCTTCCAATATTTTTTTCTCCACAAAGCCCTGCTTGGTCCAGACATTTTTCAAATTCCATTTTTCTTTTGCCAGATTCTCCTATTATATCAAATTTGATCCCATTCTGGACTATTTTTGGAATACTGGAAAACAACAAGCACTATGATAGCCTATCAATAAATCCCAAATGTCTCTTTCATTCAGTTTTAAATACATAAAATATATGGCACCAAACTGTCCTCAGTGTAATGAATCACAACAAATTGGGTGGCAATTTGTTTAGTGGTAAGGAATGATAAAGAGGAATATAGATTATTTTAGAAGCTTCACATAAAATTGTGAGGATTTGTTCTTACACAGTCAGTAAAATAAATAAACATAAGCAAAACATTTTCTTTTTTAAAATACTGAAGTTCTTATATTTTTGTGAGCTTGTAAATGTAACTCATTCTTGCTAGTGGAATGAATCTGACAGAAATCTAAATGTTTGATATTGTTTAATGGCTATTTAAGATAACGAGATGCAAACTTACCATAATATTATCTTTGCATTGATGTCTTCCCTATATGGGAAGGGAGATCGAACATCAACTTTCCCCCCTTTGATTGGTAAATGAGAGCTGTTTGATTGGTCCTCATTGTGGTAGTTAGACCATCCTGGCAAAGTGTTAATATCCACAAAATTGGAAGGAGCTCCCAAAGGATCCATGGAATCACTTATTTCAGTTCACTTCATAAGCACTTCACTGCTTATTGAGATATTGCTGTTGTTTCACACTAAAATATACAACAAAATAAAAATTCAGTGTGTTTAATACACTCTTATTATTCATCTTTAAATCAATAACTCCATTCATACACCATTTTAAATAATGATTTAGTATAATATATCTAAAATAAAGTCATACAAGTTTTGAGTTCATGTGCTTGGAATATCAATATCACCTAGAACATCAATTTGTGATTTCCAATGCTTAGTTTAAAAGAAGCCAACATCAAATCTTAGTTTCTATAACTGCCTAATTGAAATAAAACAAAATATGGATTAAAAACAACTCTTAAGCCCTGCTTATGCCAAAAGGGGGAAAGACACAAAACCTCATTCCCCCCTCCCACACAATATATGACAGGAAGTCTAAGTGTTAGACATGTGAGTCTAAGATCTTGCCCAGCTTCTGTATACCATACAAGGGACCATTGTTTCATTAGATGGAAAGAAATCTGCCCTCAGAGTTCTTTGGATTTTTTTTTTAATTGCTGGAACTCTATCAGAAGAACTGGTGAAAAATATTAACTCAGGTAAAGGTCATACAGTAAGAATTAGTGAAGAAAGTGGCTATGAGCACACATTTAGCTCAAATATCAAAATTAAGATCACCAAATATTCCGCACACAAAAAAACCCTGGTTTTTTTGGTTCCACCATAACAGAATGCAGATCAGAAGTATGGATTGTCATGACTTCCATCTGAGATCTGCCTGAAATAATTAAAGATGTGACAATGTTTGAACTCTTATGATGGAAATACTGAATAATATGTGGTCAAAATATAAATTAGATGCTGTGCATTTTGTCTTTTATATTTTTCTAAACAAATCAGAGCAATCTGCATTAATTTAAACAAAAGCAATTAAAATCTGATTTTAAATGTCACAAGAGAGGCACTAAAACTTCTTCCGATCTGTAACAGTTGTGATTAATTTTGTGCAGGTGGAAGCAATCTATCATTTGTTGCTTCAGGTGGATGACATGGTAATAAATGTAAGCCTATGGCTGCAACAAGTCTTATATGGTTAATATGGCTCATTCTATGAAGCTGTATATGATCCGTATTTTTACAGTGGTTTCAATAGTATTGCATATGAAAGTCCATAGGTATCTATACCTGAAATCCCATGTTTGGGCAACAAGGCAGTCAATTTGTTGGAGCCATGAGAGTTATGGTTCAACATGCACACAGATTAGAATGAACTTCAAATTCTCCACAAAATCATGAGGGTTTTAAAAACATTTAATGGGTTCAATTTTTACCCAGAATCCATCTTAAATAATCTGGAAACATATTGCATTGCTATTTATATTATACATATACATATAAAAGCTTTATATCAGTACTATTATATTATTACAGTTATATAATTATAAGCGTATCGGTATTTATATTTATTTTAATTACCTAGCCGCCCAACTCCAATGGAATACCGTCAGAAGAAGTCGTCCCTGAGAAGTTTAGTTTAGACATTTCTCGGGGCAGCATGCAGGGTTCCAGCCTTTTGACTAACAGCAGAACTCATGCACCCGACTCCCCACCCCCACCCGGGACTGCAGAGCCACCACCCCGAGGCAACAAAACTAGCCCGGTGAACGCGCCCAGCTGTCTCCCCTTCTTCCCCAGGTGTTTCAGTTCCTCTTTTCTCGGAGGGGAGAATAATTCTCTCTCACCACCAGCGAAGGACTGTCAAGAATGCAGCGTCCTCCTCTCCTTTCCCTCCCTCCCTCCCCCACTCTTCCCCATTGGCCGACGAAGAGGCCGCGAGCGAAAGGCGAACCCGGGGGATCGGAAGGCACGCGCCGCCCGGGCTCCGCGCGCTAAGGCAAGGGGTCCCCGAACCCCCGGGGACGTCGACGACACCCACCTCGGCTCGGTGCCTCGCGGCACTCACGGCTGCATGGCTGCCACCCCCGGCGGCCAGGGCTTGTCCTTTGCCAGGGGCTCGGCGGAACCATACCATACCCGAGGAGCAGAATCGAGGAAAGCGACCACCGACTCCCCGCGTGCCGCTCGTAGGTCCCTCTTCCGGTGAACGCCCCAATCCGCCAAGCGCCGCCTTCTGCTTTCCGCCCTGTCGTATTTGAGTGCCCAAGTCCAGGTTGCGCCGCAGATGCGAGAAAAGATGGAGAATGGGAGAAGAACGAATGGGATACAAAGAGCTGCTATCGGTCACTCCAATCGCTGCCCGGCCTGGCAGATACTCCCAAAGACGCAAGAATAGTCGGCTGAGCTTTGTACTCATATGGGCAGCGGGTCAACTTCTTGGTCGAGAAACACGTGCCTTTGCTTCCTGCGCACCTTGTGGGTTTTGAGCAGTGGCGGATTAAGGCAGTGTTTCTCAACCTTGGCAACTTGAAGATGTCTGGACTTCAAGTCCCAGAATTCCCCAGCCAGCGAATGCTGGCTGGGGAATTCTGGGACTTGAAGTCCAGACATCTTCAAGTTGCCAAGGTTGAGAAACACTGGATTAAGGCTCACTGGTGCCCTAAGCACTGACAAATCTTGGTGCCCTCCTCCTTTGTACAATATTGTACAAATCTTCATTGGTTTTTTTTTTCTTTCTCAACTTTGTGGTGCCCCAAGCACGTGCTTAGTCTGCTTAATGATTAATACACCACTGGTTTTGAGGTAGTGTCATTTGGGGGGACTCAACAATTGCCGAGACTGCCCCGGTCCTTATTGCAAACTGGGAAGGGGACTTCAAAGCTGGGGCGTCTGTAGTGAGACGGTAGATCGCTTTAAAGGCTTGGTTATTGCAAAAGTGTCCCATTCACTGCGGCTATCACTATATAACTGCATATAAGGATCAGGATTTCTCAGATGTGACACATTTTAAGAAGGGTGGACTTGAACTCCCAGAATTCCCCTGCATGCATTCTGGCTGGGGAATTCTAGGAGTTGAAGTCCACCCTTCTTAAAGTTGGCAAAGGGAAATACTGATATGGATCATATTAACTCCCGTTTAATTGTTAATATTGTGGATAGATCTCGTAGGAAGGAGTATGCTATAAATAGCAACTTTGTGTGTGTCTCCGCCCCCCCAGTGTTTGCTTATATAATCTTATAGTCATTTTTGTAATTGGTTTCAAATCGGAATTAAGAGGGAGAGCAGAAGACAACTTTTATATCATGGTTGGCCCTAAAGGAGGACTGAGAAATGGCATCTGGGCGGTCCCACTTGACGTATCCCCACCTCAGGCTTCTTAAAACTCTGCCCCAGCCCAATCCCAACGTGCGTCTTGCAGGCAACACCCTTGTTTGAGCGAGGCGTTTACATTTGCTGGGGTTACAATTGGAAATGGACGGAGTTGTTCATTGTGCTTTAAGCCAGGGGGTCTCCAACCTTGGCAATTTTAAGACTTGTGGACTTCAACTCCCAGAATTCCTCAGCCCGAGGAATTCTGGGAGTTGAAGTCCATAAGTCTTAAAGTTGCCAAGGTTGGAGATTCCCCTGCTTTAAACAAACTACGATGGTTGCTTGAAACTCGAGAGTTCAATCCCGTAGTGAGATGAGTCTCTAATTTTTCATAGCTCCATGTTCTCTTTATCCTCTACCGCCTCTTCCGGTTCCTCTGTCTAAGCATGCTGGGTTGGCAGGTTCAGCCCCGCAACGATACACGTGCGGTTCAGCCCTCGCAACGTTACACGTGCAACGAAGAGATAGTCTCGCTGCTCGGCTGACTGACGTTCGCTGCAGGAGGGAAGACTCAAGCGGAGAAGACAGGGAATAAACTGGGATCTTCCTCCAGTACATTTAGATCGGGAGTCCCTTTCTACCCGTGGCTTATACGGTGATATCGCTCCTCCTGCTGCACTTCTACACATTTTGCCTTTGGAGTTGACCGGCGGAGAAACAGCCGGGCTGCCCAGCCAATCTGAGTGGCTGACTCGAATCTGCAATTCGGTTCTTTCTGATAAAAAACCAATATATGCAGAGCGAAAAAAGGGTTCTGCAGAAGTGAATTCTGCAAAATATCAGAAATTGGGGTGTTTCTGTGTTAAGAGTTTTGGAAATAGAAGAGTAATAATGGCTGGGTAAAAAGGTAACATTTTTTCAAATGTCTTCAGAAATAATATTCGCCTAGTTTGGACTTTGCAAAAACCTGAAGCCGACCCATGGGCCTCACCAAGCAATATTTGCGGTACGCGGACACCGCCCTCTTTGGAGTGATTGCTAGCCAGAAAGGCAATATTGCCTATGTGACCCTGTGTGGTGAGAAAGGTCGCTATGTTGCAGTGCCAGCCTGTGAACATGTTTTCCTCTGGGATTCAAGGAAAGGAGAAAAGGTAAGCACAAAGCCAGGCTCCTCATGTTTTAAAATCAGATCAGATAAACAGAGTTGGAAGGGATCTTATAGATCAACTAGTCCTATATATTATAGTGGGATTTCGTTCCTGATGTTTTTTGTGTGTTTAAAAGATTAAATGAAAGGTGCTGGATGTTACTGAAGGTTTATTTAAAATCACAGGAAAACATTATAGGTAGCCCTCTTTTAATAATAACCTCATTTGGGAACTGTGATCGTGATGAAGATATAACTTTATGACCATCCTCACATTTACAATATTCATAGAGCTGTAAAGCAAAAAGAAAAAGCTGAAATAAGGTATAGGTATGTATTATAGATAAGAGTCACATTTTCACTTAGGGACTGCTTCCTTTAACAACCAAGTAGTCAGTCCCAATTGTGATTGCTAAATGAGGACTATATCTTTATTATTATTTCATTGTTGTTATTATATAATATATATATACTCCTGCCTCCTGTTTTTCTTACAGCAACAAACCTTTGAGGTGGGTTGGGCTAACAGAGAGTGATTGACCCAAAGTTACCCAGATGATTTTTGTGCTTAAGGGAGGCTTCAATCTTTTTTCTAGGCCAGCACCTTAGTCATAAATAATATGCATTATTTAGCAATAGCAATAGCAGTTAGACTTATATACCGCTTCATAGGGCTTTCAGACCTCTCTAAGCGGTTTACAGAGTCAGCATATTGCCCCCAACAACAATCCGGGTCCTCATTTTACCCACCTCAGAAGGATGAAAGGCTGAGTCAACCCTGAGCCAGTGAGATTTGAACAGCCGAACTGCAGAACTGCAGTCAGCTGAAGTAGCCTGCAGTGCTGCATTTAACCACTGCGTCACCATTCCACATTTTTTGCTAAAAGTTATGGTTGTAATTACTGTTAAAAGTAGACTTCTGATAAATTGAACATGTTCATTTTTTAAAAATTCAAAATGTTGCAATTGTCCCTTTTTTATTAAAAGGACCCAAAATTTCAGCATTGAAATAATAGAGCAGTGAGTCTTTGATTCCATTTGTCATTACTGTATGTTTTTTAAGTATCTTGGTTATAATGAATGATGGGAGATATTAGAAATGTATAAAATAACTTATTTCCTCAGAGCAATCATGTACTGATTGCCGCTTTCTTCGGAATCTTTTACTATTCCAAAATGTAAAGTTCTCCTATTTTGCTTTGCAGATTCTCATTTTTCAGGGCTCCAAGCACGAAGTCACTGCCCTCTGCCCATCTCCAGATGGTTTGCATTTGGTTGTTGGATATGAGGATGGTTCAATCTGCTTGTTCAACCTCTTAAGTGCTGAAAAAACTGTCACATTCAATGGCCATAAAGCTGCTGTTACTGTCTTGAAATTTGATGAGCTGGGAGGATGTTTGGCATCAGGATCAAAGGTGATATTTTTTTTTGAGTTGCTGATTTTAATAGATGTAAATGAAATATATGATTAAAGCTAAAAAAAGTAAAAGTAATTGAAGATATGAGTAATTGGAAATTCATGGAATGAATTTGTGTGACATAGATTTTAGGTCCCCATTTTTAGGAGTTTAGGAAAAGATAGAGAAATGAGGGGGATAGCGAAAACAGGTAGGTATAACAGAAGAATGGAATATATGATATTTGTTTCTACGACTGATCAACTAAATGTTTTTGGTTGTTCCCAAGTAGGATATGGACGTTAATGAACTTTTTTTCTGAATTAATGCAGAGATTAAAGTTCCATGAATATGGTTCTACTTCACTGTACCTATTAGTTTTCCAAATATTTAGTATTTATATTGAGAGTAGTAGCACCTTAACACATGCCAAGATGATGGTTGACTTTTTGTGCTTGTTACTCATCTATTTCTGTTTTATTCTGTTCATTTTGGGACCCATGATTTTCTGAATCTAGACTATTTTCCTAGAGGAAATAGAGGGAAAGAAAACGGAAGCTGAATGTCTTTGCTTGCTTATCAACTAATACTAAAATCAAACAAATATGCTTGATATTGGAGAGAATAGCAAGGTGAAAAATCTGCGTCATTTGGTAGAAAATCAGTGAGGAATAGGGAAAAATGCAGACAGTGAAAATGAATGTTATACATATGGTAACAGGACATTAAAAGAAAAATGGAAATACTATCCATATTTATTGAGGAAATATTCCTTTCAAAGTAGCTAATTGGAAGTGTGCAGGACATTTTTAGAATTGCAAACATCCTCAATTTTTGAGACCTGATTTTGAGATTTTTTTAATCCCAAAGAAAGAACAAGCTTTCATAAATTTCTGTACCATGCAATTAAATAGTTCCAAATACAGTGTAAAATCGAAAGTACTTACATATCTCCCAGTTTAATAACTAGATTTCCAGTGCCTAAATAAATCAGTTCACAGATTCTTCTGAAATCCTTGGTACATGAAGGTTTATCTACATTGCAGTATTGCAGTCACTTTATTGGCTTTGATTAACTAGGGTTCTTTTTTGTCTGTTACCTTCAGACAAAAGGTAACGGTTTAGGATAAAGGTTTTAAATTTTGTTTTTGGGTTTTCAATTCAATCTTGACTCCTGGTATTTTCCTGGACAGTCCTGGCAGTTTTCTTGACAAGCTTTTTGGATGAGGTTTGCCACTACCTTTTGGGACTGAAGGTGGCTTAAAGTCACCTAAGTAACTTCATACCTAAAGCAACCTAGAACTCATGATTCTAGCCTGATGCCCTTAATTACTATGCCAAACTGCATATAAATGTTATTAAAGAATCAGGCATGCAAAGCTTGACAGTAAATGCACCTTCAAGGAAATAGTAGCAAATCATGGGATAGTCAAGAAACATGACTCTCCTATGAGTAACCTGAGTGGCAGAAAGAAATGAATATAGAAACATTTTGTCTATAAGTTTAGAAAACTTGTAACTCTATAAACTGATCTTGCTCACATCTCTCAATTTGGCTGGGGCTGCTGAGAATTGTAGTTCATTGACAATTGGGAAACTACTGTTCTTAGGTCTTGTGAAGGAGATTTTGCTGTCAGATTTCATTATCATTTTATTAAATACTTTAAGAAGGCATTTCTGAAAGATAGGCAGGACATGTAGTGAAATACGTAAACAACAAAAATATTGAACACATTGCCTTTTGCTGTTTTGATCTTTAAAATATCAGGAATGGCATTTTTAATTTTATATTTTTGAGATAATATGGAAGCAGAAAATATATTTGACACTGGGTAAGGGGTTGAGTTTACCTTGTTCATTGCCAGGAAAATAACATGTTGAGCCATTTAATTTTTTTTTTTCCAGGACACAGATATCATAATTTGGGATGTGATCAATGAGAGTGGTTTATACCGGTTGAAAGGCCACAAGGATGCAATTACACAGCTATCGTTCTTGAAAGCAAAAAATATATTGATTTCTAGGTAATTGTTTTCTTCACGTATTATCTGCCCCCTCCAAGTCACATTGCAATTTTACTTAAGTTCAAAAAATTTGCTAGGAATTAAGGGAAAAAAGTTAATCCTGAAAATTAATTATTTATTAGGTCAGTTGTATTATTTGCATTGTAGACAGTTGGCTTAGTGTTAATACCTCAAATAAGATGTTCTTGCATTAATTCACCAAATCTGTGAATAAATTGAAGGAAACTTTAATTTTTTCTCTTATTCTATTGAGAAGATTAACCTGTAATTTATGCTGCATGAAATATGCATAGATGCTTCCTTTTGAAAATTAAGGGTATTAGTAAAGAACAGTCTACACATTCAGAAAGACTCTTAGTGTTAGAATAAAAATTGGCTTCATGTGTTTCATGGGTAAGCTAATTCTGACTAATTTTTTTAGCTTTGTCACTTCCCATTGCAATAATGCATTGTCTGGAGAACTTTATAGGTTTTAATTTATTCTGTACTGTGTATATACTTGCTACATAATAGGGGAAATTTTTGATGTAATGTTGTAATGGTGGTAATATTTTCAGTACGATTTATGAGGCAACATTTTCTTGCAGTGGAAAAGATACTGTAGTAAAATGGTGGGACCTGGATACTCAGCACTGTTTTAAAACATTGGTTGGGCACCGCTCTGAAGTAAGTAGAATGCAGATTTGCAGGTGAGAATAGTAGCAAGAAAAAAACAATGTCTTTTCAAAGTATAGGTAGTCCTAAACTTTCAAAGTATAGGTACACTTGACAAGTATAAGTCATGATGCTCGTAAAATGGATTGGTCACATGACCAGTCCGTGACCTTTTTGTAGCAGCCGTTGAACGAATACCAGTTGTGAGCTCATTAATCACTATGACACAATTTTGCCAAACCCTGAAAGTGCCAATTTTGAGCAAAACCATCATAAAATGCAGTGACATGATTGTGGGTTGCTGCAAATGGTCATACATGTGACCTTGTTGCTGAGCACCCAGAGTTCAGTCATGTAACAATGGAAAAACTTCAACCATTGAAACTTTGAATCCAGGTTATCAGTAGGCCCAGCGGTAGATCCATTGTAACACTGAATGGTTGCTAAGCGACCTGTAATAAGTTGAGGGCTATCTGTATATAGGTAGCCTTCACTTACTGACTGCTCATTTAGTGAGATAATCACAGGGACTTTCTTTTTCCACTTTATGTGCATTTTAAGAGACTATTTTTACAGATAGGAAGAGTGTTTCTCAACCTTGGCCACTTGAAGATGTCCGGACTTCAACTCCCAGAATTCCCCAGCCAGCAAATGCTTGAGTTGAAGCTGTCCGGACATCTTCAAGTGGCCAAGGTTGGGAAACACTGGTGTAGAATGTTATTCTGAATTGCCTATTATAATGGGTAAGAATAGTGTCCTATATGCAAATAACTTTCATTGATGAAAGTAAAATAGTACATCGTGGTAAGCCCTAATCTTACCTTAGGGGATCATTAAATCTTTTTGCCTTTGGGTTTTCTGGCAGCAAAATGAGGAAATTAAACTTACAGAAATGAGAGAAGTAGATTTAGTTTTTAGTCTTCTCTGAAGAACGAGCTACTGTATTAAAATAAATGCTTTTGACATGCTCTTCCTTAGGTGTGGGGGTTAGTTTTGGCTTCTGAAGAAAGACTTCTTATTACTGGGTCTGCTGATAGTGAACTGAGAGTATGGAACATCACATATTCCCAGAAGGCAAGTGCTCGGTATTTCTACTGCTTGACCTGATCATTATTCACATTAAAGCTATTGTACATTATTTTTAGTGTTTTCAGTACTGAATGTAAAATCAAAATATAAATGCAAATGGAATAAAATAATATTCCCTTGCACTGGTATTATGCCCTATGCTTGGGGCAATTTATGTTATATAAGTAGTCCTCGATTTACAACCGCAACTCAGCCCAAAATTTCTGTTGCTAAGTGAAATATTTGTTAAATGCATTTTGACTCACTTTACGACATTTCTTGCCACATTTGTTAAGTGAATCACTACAGTTAACTTAGTAACATAGTTGTTAAGTGAATCTGGCTTTCCCATTGACTTTGCTTATCAGAAGGTCGCAAAAGGTGACCACGTGACTCTGGGACACTGCAACTGTCATAAATATGAGTCAGTTGCCAAGGGTTGCAATGGTCGTAAGTGTGAAAAATGGTCATGTCACTTTTTTCAGTGCTGTTGTAACTTTGAACGGTCGCTAAATGAACTCTTGTAAGTCAAGGACTACCTGTACCTCTGGTGATTTTGGACACAGAGAAGTCTAATGTTGGTCCAGTGAGAAAAAGAGTCACTTATCCTTCATTAGGTACTGCTTTTGTAATGTTACCTGTTAGGGAAGAAAATTCCTTATCTAAACAGAAACAGAATGACCACAGGTGGGCAAAAAAAGCATGGCAGCAGGAGTGATTTCCAACTTACTGTCTGCTTCCCCATTGACTTTGTGGGAAATTGGTAATGGAGCATCAGAAATCACAATTACGTGATCGAAGCAGCATTGTAGCTATATGAAGATCCTTGAAATGTAATTATAGAAGAGTAATGGATTCCAGATTTTGTATGCATTCTTTTAAATTTGCAGGATTTGAGGTCCTGGATTCGAAAGGTTTAGCACTACGACATACTGTTTGCTCTGATTGAAGGCTACAAAGTTTTAGTAGTACGTATATAGATGGAACTGAGCTCGCTTCTTTGACTGTATGTTTTGATTGCAGGGATCAATCCCTTGAGTTATGAAGCCATTTATTTTTCCAGGAGATACTTTAGCTCATATTACGTGGTTCCCTTAATTAAAAATAAATTAAGGTAGAAGCACTATTTTAACATTTCACTTTCATTGAATGTCATCTGTTTTGTAACTCTTGTAGTTCCTGGCTCTAATATACAGCTTTGATGGACGTGTTATTTTATTTACAAAGCATTTGTTTTTACTTTGGCTTTATGTCTAAGCATGCTATATACTTGAGATATTTAATAAATAAATAAATGATTTGTCTGCGGAAAGAAACGGTTTTCTTTAAGCCAAAGTATTTTATTCTTTTGGCACACACATAGGACCAAGACTCCAGTGAGCCTGAAAACAAGAGAAATAAAGGGCATGTTCAGAGCTTGGAAGAATCTTCTGAAGATGCACAAGATGAGGACCAAAATGAGGTATCTTTTTAATGTGTAGTCACAGTACCACATAATTTACTACATTGACCATACATAAATACTTCCATCTGAAGCAAATAGACAGGATAGATGTTTCTAATCTAAGTAGGTTTTCTATGTTAGTGCTTTTCTAGTTTCAAATACAGTAACTGAATAATATTTTGAAGGGCACAAAGTCATGATATCTTTTACAATCTTATTGGATGCACATGGTTCATACATAATGCTGAGCCATAATGTGGGTTGTTGGTGAAGAAATCACTGTGTGCCACTCATCTCTTAGTGGAGGATTGGTGTTAGGAATATAATCTAACGGTTGGGTTGGCAATATATAAATCATGTAGCAATGCTGTACCTGTTTCTTTAAATCATACTGTAAAATGTGATTAGTTGCTGTTTTCCTCAATCGGCCATAAGAGGGAGCCAGAAGGACTGTTAGCTCTCTGGTTTGTTAGATGCTGGACTGATCTGATCTGGGTGATTTGGAAGCTAGCTGTTAGCAAGTGCCATGAGCTATTGTAAGTTTCGCAACTGTTAGCAAACTGAGTACTGAACTGATTATATGATACTGGACTATGTTATTTGGATTATCCCTTAACTGAAAGACATTGATGACTGACTGTCTTATCCGTGTATGACTTGGACTGTTTGATGGACTCTGATACCTCTATTTCCACGAAAGTAAAAGCCTATTTAAACTGCAGTGTCTCTGTATGCTGGTTTGTGTGTTCTCCAACACAACTCTCACAACGCTTCTCTGAACGTACTCGCTCTCCCAACGGGGAGCTTTCCTAACAGTTGGGAAGCTGAATCTCGGGGAGTGGGGAAGCATTCAGCTTCCAATATCTCTCACCCACATCTTGGTCTTTGGGTCTCTGGCTGTATCCTCCATTAGATCTTTCCAGCATTGTGGTTGTATAGGATCCTTCACTGAATGAAAGGGTGAACTGCAATAGAATGAATAGGAAGAAAAGAAAACAGCTACAGCAAACAGATCCATTATCAGATTGGAAAGAGTGCCCTGTGGCATAGAAAGAAACTCAGTGCCTGCACAGTCACCTCTGACCATTGCAAACAAACACAACCAAGCAATTTCTGCCTGAAATCAATTCCCCCTTCCCTGCCGTTATAATGCTTAAAAAAGAGAAAAAGCTTTGGAGAGAACAGATATCCTCTCCTTTTCATGATGAAAAAGGAAAGTGGGAAAGAATGCCAGTTTAGCTTTTCAGGCAGCTCTGCTACTTAGCCAGGTTCTTTTTTCGTGTCTTCCTTCTATTATGTCATTTTGGCTGAGCTAACCTGTTTTTCTATGCTGTCCACCTTCTGTTAATTTTTTTGGATGATAACCATGGTTTTCTTTTGAGCCATTTACTGCTTTGTTTTCCTTCATGTTTGTCTATGGCTTTTTTTCCAAGAAGGGCACTGAGAAATGTAAAGCGACTGGACACCTTTCTTGGTCTAAAGCAGTGTTTCCCAACCTTGGCCACTTGAAGATGTCAGGACTTCAACTCCCAGAATTCCCCAGCCAGCGAATGCTGGCTGGGGAATTCTGGGAGTTGAAGTCCTGACATCTTCAAGTGGCCAAGGTTGAGAAACACTGGTCTAAAGCCACAGATGAACAGTCAAAACAATATTGTCATTTTCAATTGCTTGGCTGGTGGTAAATAATTGCTATTTCATTGTCTGTATTGCATGCATTTTATCGACTTCCTTGACATTTTGAGACCACAATTTTTAGTCCTCTTTCAATTAATTTGTTTTAGGGCACTGTAAGATGTGAGAAAGCTGGTTCCATCATGAGGGAAGGAAGGAATCGTGTTGTTGGTCTTGCTACTGATAGATCAGGAAGAATCCTTGCTTGCCATGTGAGTGGGAATCTTTTGGACCATATGGGAGTACTGACAGACCTCTGGCCTTGTAGCTATGGAAAGAGATTTCTGGGCCAGCAAGTTTCTAATTTATTTTGGGTTTTTTTTCCTTTAAGGGAACAGACTCTGTCCTGGAAATATTCTGTATCCTCAGCAAAGAAGAAATTCAGAAGAAATTAGAGAAGAAAATGAAGAAAGCAAGGAAAAAAGCCAAGTGAATGCAATACATTTGCTTTATTATTTGTCATTTTTACATTATATATTATTTTAAAACAATTATCCATAAAATGGTCAAATTAAATTGGTAATGCTTTTAAGATTCAAGATACAACTTATGTTAATATTTCTGATTCATACAGAGGTGGTGTTTTTTGTTCTAGACAAAAGTCAAATGTGGAAGAAGAAGAACTTGATATCAGTATAGAGTGCAGTCTACAGGAAAAGATTCAACGTCTTGTTAACATCAAAGCTTCTGCTAAAATCAAGTGGGTTTCAAGTGCTAAGGGTAATAAATATATTGTTTGTTAAAAAAGCAATCAAGTGCTAAAAAAACCAGTAATAATATACAATAACTCAACTTTTATATAGTGTATTTAAACTATATGAAAAATTACTGATTGTAATTGTATGTTACCAGGGAGTTGGATAGTCTCTGTTTCTCCTGTAATATAAACTCAAACTTACCACCAAGTTTAAAAAAATTTAAATATTTTTTACACTAAAGAAAACAAGAGAAGGAAAGCTTTTGTGTAATACAAAAGAAATATAATCAACCACAATCCTAGTCTTTCTCCTCTACCAAAGTATTTCTGGTGCAGTTGGATTTAATGTAGCTTAACAGACATTCTAAAAAAGAACAATGCGCAAAGGATAGGGCCATGCAATTAAATACTAATTCAGCTGTTAAATGCTGGAGATATATAAAGAAAGCCAAAAACAGAGATGTTACTTAACCATAGGGAAAACCAACTAGGAGAAAGCTATAGAGGACTCTAGGTAGAGGCTGAATGTTGTTGGAAACGAAGACTCCAACATTCTCTTGTTATTCTCTGTCTTTATGACAGGATGGATATCATTTTTCCTATGATTGTTTTCAATAGTGGCTTTTTTTGAAGTTTTGCATACTTTTGCTCATGTAACTAGGGATACATGTATTTATTAAATAGACTTATATTTCTATGAAATATTCCTTTACATTTCATCTCACAGTCATTCTAGGTGGCATGCAACATTAGAAACCCACAGTTTAACACACACACATACACACACACACTCACCAGAGGTGGGTTGCTCCCAGTTCGGATTGGGCAAACCGGTAGCATAGAAGCGTTGTGAGCATGAGCGAATCAGTAGTGGTGGGATTTGCAACCCATCTCTGACACACACATACATACCTCAACCATCTTCTAGTGTCCAATTTTTCCAAAGATCAAAGATTCTTTTCAATGATTCTTACCCTTCCAAAATATTTAACTTGAGCTTCATTGTAGTATTTTCACTAAGCAGTCATTGTTATTATTCATCATTAGTGCTTCCACTACTGTTGAATAATTTGTTCTTCTTTGACTCAAGGTTTTTTCAAATATTGTCTCCAGCACCGCACTTCAAAATGTTTCTTTATTCAGTCATATAATATTTCAATAGGCAAATTAAGCAGCCTTATACATCCATGTTTTAAAAAGCTGTTCTCAGTTTTGAGGGATCTACACACTTGTGGAAACCTTAATATAATTCATAAAGCAAAAGTAAATATATTTGGTGTTCCCTTGTCATTTCCATCATCCATTGAATATTAACAATATGACTTGATTTTAGCATCTATGTCTGATAGTTCTCATCTCATATATTATTGAAGTCTGGATTGCAAATGAAGTTTATATTTATCTTTGTTCGCTTCTTTTACATATTATTCCTCTTAATTCATTTAACACTTAACATGGCAGTTACTGCTTTTAAAACAATAAATGGTATTTTATTGAAACAGATCTTTTGACTTGATGCTGAATCCAAAAGGAGAACTGAAAGCCACCTTAATGCTCCAGAACAACAACATTGAATGCTACAGCCTGCAGTCATCAGAGCAATCTCCCCAAGTTGTGCAGACATCAAAGATAAACATTGGAGGTCACCGTACTGATGTTAGAACAGTGTCATTTAGCTCTGATAACATCGCCATCCTCTCTGCTGCTGCAGAATCCATTAAGATATGGAACAGGTATGAATCCTCTATGAACGCTGAAGGAAAACGTGAGTTGCAATCCATATTAACAAGGACATTTTGTTTAAATGTTTTCAAGTATGAATCTGAACTATTAATATGGAATATTAATCCAATATGGAATCCAGGAAAATGCATAATATCTCATTATAGGCAGTAAGGCAGATATATATAGTAATACCGAATAGTATGCTTTTAAAATAGAAGGGTCACATTTACTGAGAATTCATCAATGGAGTTAGTTATCTTTGTGTTGTTGGATCTTTCCTATGGTGAGTTGTCTTACATTTGATGTAAACATTCTGGGTCACTGCAGTGCTTTGTACAATGTATAGTCAAATTGCATATTACTCTGCTCAAGATATTACAGTTGTCAGAGATTGTTCAGATTCTGGGATAAGATTTTTAGTGGCTGCTAGTCCTAATTTGCATGTTTATCCTGACTCCAAAATTTCATGACTCTCAAATTCAGTTCCTGGAGGGCCCTTGGAAATTGTTAGCTATTTTGTGAGGCATCTGATTCTTCATTGTGGAAAACTGAAGCTACTGTACTCATCACCATCTCAGAGCCAGTTCACTGGAATACTTCCTGATTGATTAAAAAAATTTTTCACAGCATCCATCTAATTTATGTTGCCTATTCTACTTAATTTTGGAGGTAATTCTAAAGCTGAGGAAAGCTGAAGTAGGTCGCTGTCTGCTGAGAGTTTTTGGGGAAAACAGTTTTTCAGTGCTTGCTAATCCTAATATAGTTGTTTCTTTGCAAACATCAGTGTTGTGTGATTCCGCCACTAAATGAAACCGGTAAAATGAAGTCAGAGTCAGATATCTGGTGTAATTTTTGTTTGAAAGATCTATGAGTTCAGTTTAGTTTTATACCCAACACAAATTTCTAGGCTTTGGAAATTCTATGAAAGTCCCCAATTGTTTAATTGTGAAGGTAGCATTCTTGGCACAAGGATGATTTAGAGGCTGTACTAACATTCTAAAGTAATTATGATACACCCCAAATTGGTTCACTACTATTGTAGTGTGTATGTACAACATGTGTGTGCATACTTAACTGTTTTTCCAGTTGCGTGTTGTGCCAGTCAGTTTCCCCACTGGTAGTATATCATAGCTCTGTTTTGGCTAGCTTTTATAAAAGAGGTTTTTGAAGAGAAATCGGGGGTTAAATATTGTGCTAATCTACAGTGATAACTTTTTCCTGCCATTTGTGAAATTGTAAGAAATTTTCTTTTCAAAAGTACCTCCAGTACATGTATTTCTTGTATGTAAAATGGATTACTTTGTTGTTTCTTTTCCCAGGTCTACCTTGCAGTGTATCAGGACCATGGAGTGTGATTATGCACTTTGCTCCCTGTTTGTCCCAGGAGACCGACAGGTCATTATAGGGACAAAGGTAAATTGCACATCCTTTCTGAAGCATTAGGATATCTTGCTAATAATGCCATATTTTTAATTTAAAAAATCATATCTACTCAATACAGAGCCATTACAAGTTTTTTTGAAGAACTTTTGCTACAGCTGCAGACTCGTCTTTTACAGAAGTCCCATCTTTTTCCTTCAAGTTTCTTTTATGTATGGTTTACAATGGTGAAATTCAAATTTTTTTTACTACCGGTTCTGTTGGCTTGGTGGGCGTGGCAGGGGAAGGATGCTGCAAAATCTCCATTCCCACTCGACTCTGGGACCAACGAGAGGTGGCATTTACTGGTTCTCTGAACTACTCAAAATTTCCGCTACCGGTTCTCTGAATATGGAGAAACTTTCCTTGCTTTATTCTCTTCCATCCCCAGTTGGGGTTATAGTAACACAGTTTTCATTCCATATAATGTTTTTGGTTTGTTTGTCTGTTCCTTTCATTGGCACTTGCTTCTGATATAATCGTTGAAAAATTGCTGATACTGATACCTGGTATCAATTTGTGTACAAATTATAATTCATAATTTTTATTAGACTGGAAAGCTGCAGCTCTTTGATCTGGCTTCTGGATGTTTATTGGAAAGTGTTGATGCTCATGAGGGGGCTCTGTGGTCCATATCTCTTTCTTCAGATCAGGTAGGACAAGTTTAAATTTGTTCCTTTTTATATGATAGAGTTGTGTTCAAGGTGACGTAATAGCTTGTAAGAAGACGACTTTTGGGGGGATGGAAATGGGCATAGTAGTTCTCTTATCTACTATAAGGATTGTTATCATCTTCCAGCATTCCGTGGTGTGCTGTCGTACGAACAATACATTTCTCTATGGCAGTTGGTAGATCCTGGAATGCTTCTGATGCTGCCTAATTCTTGTTTGCTTTTTGCAATCCTTTGCAGACCTTGTGTTTAATTAGAGTAATTACTTAAAAATAAGTTATGATGACTTTTCAGGTATAATATCAGAGTTAGTAGTTTTTTTAAAAATTAACAGTGTGAAATAGTATAGTAGTTGATAAGGCAAAATGGAGGGAAATCATCTATAGGCACAGAGTCCAATTTAGAATTTGGAGTGGGGAGGATTTTAGCTTTCATTGCAAAAATGTATTATTATGGAAATAAGCTACTGATTGATTTCCTAGTCCAGGAAAACAAACTGGCTGGGATTCAAAAATCTTTTAATGCTGCTTCTTTTCTAAATCATCTTCAGTGTGATTAGTCAAGAAGAAGATGGTAGATCATCATATATGGTTGAGGAGGAGAAGCAGTAAAAAACAAAAATGAATTGGTAATGGTCTGCAAATGGTAGTGTTTTCAGTTCAATTCACTGGCTTTTCTGCACATAATATGCTCTTGAAGAGCGAATAAAGCAATTTAATTCTTCTGCTGTGTCATCTTTTATATATAGCAAAATTGACCATGCTTAGTTTTAAGTTAAATTATTTTCTCCTTCAGCGTGGTTTTATAACAGGAGGCGCAGATAAATCTGTCAAGTTCTGGGAGTTTCAGCTAGTGAAAGACAGGAACAGTATCCAAAAGAGGTGAGAGTATTTTTCTAGGAATTAATAATAATTGAGCTCTGAATTTTATTCTCACAGTATTGTTGATGCATAGAGCTTGCTAGCATGATGTAGAGTTTTGTCCTTTTTGAAAACATTGGGTACAAATAATTTTGCATATCTTCTGGGCTGTAAACTTTTTCTAAGACATCCTACCTATTGTGTTGGTGAAATAAATACTATGCATATCTTTTATATTAATCTCTCTTATACTTCTTGCACCAAATTAATACCTTTATTGGTAGGATGGATATATTTGAAGACTAAAAACATGACCATATTTATTTAAGCAGGATTTTTAAAAAAATATTTAAAATGATAAATATTAAGTGTCTGTTGCTTAAACATTTGGTTTCTATGAAATTCCTATTAGAACTACATTTTATCTCTGGATTAATTTCTTTATTAGATGCACTGAGTTAAAGAAGCTTTTCAATATAAATGGGAATGAATTTAATCATTTGGGGAAATATATACCGTATTTTTCAGTGTATATGGTACACTCCCCCCCCCAAAAAAGTGGGTTGAAATGTCTGTGCGTCTTATACAGCGAATGTTGCCGAAGCCCACCCACCGGTTGGCTCCCATCCTTCGGCCTCTGCCTCCCAGCAATTTGCCTCCTTGCAGCAAACAGAAAACAACCTAGTCATCTTGAGCACAGCCCGATTTTAGCACAAGGAACTTATTATGGTTGGATCAGCCTCCTGGAATACCGCCTATCAGCTGTTTCAGGCTGCAGGGATCGCCGCCACCGTTGCCATCCATTGCCGCTTCCGTGTGCCCCATTTTCAACCTGTTTCAGTCAGCAGGGAACCCCAACACCTGGAATGGGCCGAAAATGGGACACGCAAAGACCGAAAATGAGGTGCGCAAAGGCAAAAACGGAATGTGCAGAGGCTGAAAATGAGGCGCACAGAGACGGAGATAGGTGGCAGTGGCGATGGGTGGTGGCTATCCCTGCAGTTTGGAACGGTTCCACCACAAAACCGTGTTCGACTAAACCGCGCTCGACTAAACCGCGTAGCTGACGTCATCAACAGCGCAACAGCAGCGCGGAGACAGAAGCACGCTGTAAACGCTAAACCTAAAATTAACACCTAAACCTAACCCCCCTAAACCTAACCCTAAACCTAACCCTTAACCTAACCCTAAACCTAATCCTAACCCTAACCCTTAACCTAACCCTAAACCTAACCCTAAACCTAACCCTTACCTTAAATTGAATCGGCTTGCTTTCAAAGCGCTATTTAAAGCGCCCTTCTTTCTCCGCGCTCGCTGTTGTCGCCCTGTTGATGAGGTCAGCGACGCGGTTTAATCGGGCGCGGCTTAGTCGAGCGCGGTTTTGTTGTGCCATGGTTTGGAACAGCTGATAGGTGGTATTCTGGGAGGCAGATCCAACCGTCAATCAGTTGCTCGTGCTAAATCAGGCTGTGCTGAAGCTGACCAGGCTGTTTGCTATTTGCTGCAAGGAGGAAAATTGTTGGGAGGCAAAGGCAGATTTTTTTTCTCCCTAAAAGCTAGATGCGTCTTATAGACTGGAGCGTCTTATAGTCTAAACTATAGACTAAACTGGTTATCAAAAATAGGCCTTTTATTGCCACTATTCTGTCCTATTCAGTGATTCTTTGGCCTTGTTGTAGAGGCATTTTCTCTGCCTTTTTTATTGTGAAAGTGGGGTATGGCACAGAAAAGTGGAAAGTAGAAAGAAACAACTTTAAATTAAATTGTTGTGCAGATTATTTTTTGTGGTCCGGGAAGTAGTTTTGCAAATGGGAAAGGGTGGGATTAATTCCACTTCTGCAGCTGACCCAGGGGGCTGGATAAAATCAATGCAGGATACTGATGTCACTAGTGCCAGTTAAGGCCTGTTCCGTCATGCAGGCAAAGGGAAGAACCAGTTTCTCCCCTTTGATTTATGAATCTAACTGTGCAGTAAGAATCTATATATTTTACTTATCCCATCCTAGGCTCTCTGTGAAGCAGACACGCGTTTTGCAGCTGGATGAAGATGTTCTCTGTGTTCGGTACAGCCCCAATCAAAAATTTCTGGCCGCTGCCTTATTGGACTGCACTGTAAAAATATTCTACACTGATACTCTCAAGGTAACCAATACTACCCATAGTTTGGATATAAAATTAAGGGAAGTGATGGAGATTCATTTTAGGCATTAAAAAAATTACACTCCTGTAATATCAAGGAGCCAGCTATACAATGAGTTAATTCACTCCTATGACCAAAGAAAAGAAGGATGTGATGGCCATATCTTGATCCTATTTCACTCTAGTTGCTTTCTTGTTCCTTCACTTTGCCAGAAATATCGTACTTTTTGGAGTATAAGTTGCACCGGAGTATAAAACACACTAAGGTTTTGAAGAGGCAAATTTAAAAAAAGGTTTTGCACTCTGCAAACCTCCCAAAAATGGCCTGTTTTTCGCGAAAACGGGCCTGTTTTCTCTCTCCAAAAAAGTCATGAACAGTCTTTAGGGAGCTTCCAGAGTGCTCCTGGGGAGTGCCCCTCCCCCCAAAACAAGCAAAAAACTGCCCGTTTTTCACTCATTTCTGCCTTCCTCAGCCCCCAGGAGCTCTCTGAAAGCCTACAGGCTCTGCATGGCCATTTTGGTGAAAAGGGGGGAGGGGTTCAGGAGGCAAAAAATTCTGTACTCAGTGTATAAGATGCATCTAGATTTTCAGCCTCTTTTTTGAGGGGAAAAGGTATGTCTTATACTCCGAAAAATACAGTAATTCTTTTTCTCTATAGTAGCTTTCTTTTGTGGGTATTGTCCCCCCCCCCCCCCGTGTTTTATTTCATCCTGATTTTAATTACCTCTTTACTTCCTTTTCCTTAAACTAAAAAAATCAAACCAATTTTTCCTGTCGGTTTCTTTGTGGAGTATTTGAAGAATGTGGTTCACGAAGTCAAAAACATCCTTGAAAAATGGGGGTGGGACAAGTAACAAAGACCTTGCGCTAATCATGGCTACAGCTAAGCAGAGGTGGTATGGGCTTTCATAGCCAGTATCTGTTGGGTAGTGTTGGGCTGCAAGATTTAGCGACCTTGAAGCCCAAGGTCTGGAGTACAGATTTCCTGATGACTGCTCTCATCTTCAGAGTGGTCTGCTACCAAGATCATAGCAATTGAGCAAAGACTGACTGAACTCCTGCCTTTATAGCCAGGTGTGCTGGCTATAAACAGAATTGCTGCAGTTGAAAAATAATGTAATTTTCCCAAAGGGCATAATTAGCTCTCTCTGTAATTATACTTTAATACAGACAGATGATATTTCTGACAGTGCTCTAAGTAACAGGGTCTAAGACAATTGAGCTGAAAGAAAGGAGAAAACCCTCAAGAGCACAGATTTAGTTATTTTCTGATGCTGTTGAGGATGCCACTGCACTGCAGTGATGTTAGTTGTTAGTCCTCTTTTGAGGGATGAATTTAGATAATTTTTTGTCAGCCTTTTATGTAGAAGCTTTGGAATAATCTTTGGCCAACAATCTGATTAAATGTTTTAAGGAGACTTACTAAAAATAGTGAAAAACTGATTTGGCTCCTCACTCCAAGAGAAAAAAGAGGGGAAAAAAACCTGTAGTCCCTCTTTTGAAACATCATTTTTTCCCTTCTTTCCCTATATAAAATGTAATCCCTAACTTCACTGTGAGCCCTACAACTGGAGAGCCTAGCATGAAACAGGGTGTTAAAGTTGCTCATGCTGAATTTGTCACGAAAGCAGGCATGATGTACACACCTTCCTCTTTTCCCTAACAGAACAGGCTAAATCCTGCAGTACCACAAGAGTGTTTGGGTTGAACAGTTGGTTAACCCCAAATAAAAAGCAGGACTTAACGTGTCAATGAAAGCTGTAAAGAAAGATCTAGGTGTTTACTAACACTGTACTTTTTAAAATGTGTAACTGATGTCTTCTCGGTTTCCAGTTTTTCCTTTCTCTCTATGGCCATAAATTGCCAGTGCTGTGCATGGATATCTCTTATGTAAGTATACCATGCTTTGGAGATTTTTGGGGTGGCTTTATGCTGGAAGATGTTTGTGTAAGTGTCTCTGTGGGGTGTTACCTTATCCATGTTAGTTTATTTATGTGGCATGTGCCCATTGATGTTGAGGGCTGATGTAATAATGTAAAAGTTTCTCATAACTCGAATGAACCTGATTGATTGATTCTTGGTCTGTCATGAAATAGTGTTGCCTGTCAACACCAGTAGTAGTAGTAGTAGTAGTAGTAGTAGTAGTAGTAGTAGTAGTAGTAGTAGTAGTAATACCTCTGTATTAATCAAGATCTGTATAGATAGAACCATAATTGAGCCTGAAAATACAGTTGTAAATTATGGTGGTCATTAAGTGATTCACCAAATGATGTGCTCGATTTTACAATTTACAATATTTTGCAGCAGTTGTTAAGTGAACTCTGTGATAGTTAAGTAAACCCTTACTCCCCAATTGGAGGTTGGTTTTTTTTGCCAGAAACCAGAAGTAAAAGCTGAAAACAGGCAAAAAAAACAAACCACACACACAGCCATTGGATCTTCAAAGACGGACCATAAATAATTCTAGGGAGGTCCATTGTAAGTTGAAATGATTGCTAAGCAGTTGATAAGTGAGGACTACTTGTGCCAAAAAGAAGACTTGGGTCCCTGATGACAATTAATGATTGTTCCCCTTACCTGTTTTGGAAAGCAGTGCAGGATTCTGTTATGTTCCAGAAAAAGGTACACATACATGTAAGTCTAGATTGAACTGCAGGAATATCTAACTGATAAGGTTCTTTTCTCTCTTTCATGCTGAAGGATGGAGCATTAATTGCAACAGGCTCTGCTGACCGGAATGTGAAAATCTGGGGCTTGGACTTTGGGGATTGTCATAGGTCACTTTTTGCTCATGATGACAGGTAGGACAATGGGAATTGCGAGATCCCTCTATAAAGGGTGAAATATTTTACACTTCTGAAAGAAATCCATTATATTGTAGTCTCTATAGAACTACATATGGCACACATACTGCATTGTTCAGGGCAATGAATCTTTCTGATTAGAGCTCCTTAGGTATCGTCCTTTTTTCCTTTTCTTAACTAACAGCTTTTGGCATCAAGCCACCTCCGTTGAAAACAACCTTTTCCACACTATTTGAAATTCTGTTTGTGAAGCTGGGCAGATTTACAGCTCCTTTGAAAGATTCAGTTATAAACACTGTACACAATATTTTGTGGTCTTCCATTTATGGTAGAGGAGGGATTTCTTCAGACATTTTAACAATACAAATGTGCACTATATTTTGAGCTTATAATGACTCCTTGAAACATGACTTTCGTTTCGGGCAATTTTTTCCCCATGAGCTTGGTACAACATGTAGCTTTTTCAACTTGCAGTAATTAGACTGGAGTGTTCTTTTATATCTTGCCACTGTTTTCTCATTAAATTATCTTGATTTACATAGTAAATTTTAAGAAGAGGACTCGGCAATTTCTCTCCCAAAACACAAACTTCAATTTTAAAAAATTACAGGATAAAATATATTAATGTAGCCAACATGTGCTGGATCCATAAATCTTTATCATACAAAATACACTGAATTCATAAGTCTTTATCAGCATGCAGATCTTAAGTATCTTCTTCCCTTTTAAAAATACTTCCCATGATATAAATATGTGAATGGGAATTTGGAAATAGTAATGAATTTCCATATCTTCTCATAGTTAATTATTTTTCTTTCATTCTTTAGTGTAATGTATCTTCAGTTCGTTCCAAAGACCCACCTCTTCTTTACAGCAGGAAAGGACCACAAGATTAAACAATGGGATGCTGATAAATTTGAGAATATCCAGACCTTAGAGGTAAAATAAAAGATCTTTAGGAATAGACTTCTCCTGAAATTTGCTGTGTATGTGTATGTTTGCATGCGGTCCATCTGGAAATTATAGCTAGTTCAGCATGTGGTGTGAGCAGTGATGAAAATGCTTCATTATGTCCAAGTGGCCTCACTATTCCATATGTGTGCTGTGGCTAACACTAGGCTTCCAAGTGTAAATCAAGGCATCAGTTATCACCTCACCCATAAAACATTTCATGGCATAGGGCTTTGCTACTTGAGAACTGCAATGTTTTCTAGTGGGATCCAGGAAGTATGCCTCTTCTGTCACAGCGCCCGCCCCTTGCTCCCATCAAGAAGCTATTGAAGATCTGGTGGTTCTCCCAGGGGTTGGCAGGTTAAGCTCCCATTGGATGGATTTATATGTCTCATATTCGGGCTACTTATAAATGTGTTACTTTTTAGAATATCATTCTTACTTTTAAAATTGTAGTTTCTCCATGTTGGGTAGCCTCTATACTGATAAATAAAAAAATAATTTCTTCCCTTCCCTATAACTAACCACCTGTCTAATTCATAGGGGCATCACCAGGAAGTGTGGTCCCTGGCTATCAGTCCCAATGGAGATTACCTTGTCTCCTGCTCTCATGATAAATCATTGCGCCTCTGGGAAAGGACAAGGGAACCCCTTATTCTGGAGGAGGAGAAGGAAATGGTAAGAAGTAATCAGAACTTCTCTCTTGAATCTGTTTAGCAGAATTCCAATCCCAGATCTTTTAATGTATACATTCATATGTACTTGCATTATTAGGGCTTTTTAATGAGTTCATTGGTGGTCCCCTACTTGCAAACATATCTATTAGCTCAGTGCTGAGGCTTTACATTGAACAGGCTGTACTGTCAAGCTATTGGTTTAATAGGAAGAAGTTGTAAATTTTTATGTTGGCTGATCACTCAAAAATATTTAAAGGTAAACTGCAGTTTTGTTCTCTGATACAGGGTCTGGAATCATCATCTTATAAATGTCAATGAGACAAAGCATATATGTATTTTACAAGTAAAATAAGTTTGGTTTATTCAGAAGATTTAATCTGAGGGAGCAGCACAAGTTAGCTGCTTCTCCCAAACATGTATTATTTCACAATATAGGACAACTCAGATTTCCAAGTTTCAGGGAATAAATTTCACTTCAATTAGTAAAATGTGAGAAGGGGCATTCCGTGCCTCCCTTTCTCCACCCCGCTGCCTGTTTTTCTCCTCTTCAAAACCTTCCTCAGATGATCTCCCTTGGCTTCAGAGAAATCTTGGGGACCGTCTGCAGATGGGAAAGAGGCCTCAGCCATGTATAATAAAACATGTAACTTCTCAGTAGGGAATGGGGAAACGTCCAGGAGTGGGATATTCTCACAGCCAATATCCCACTTCTGGACGCTTCCCCATCCTATAAGAATACAGTTCAGGTAAGACCAACTGTCAATCTCTCTCAGTTGTGGCATCTTATAACCCTACCATGTTAGAAGAGAACATTTATAGCTCAGGATTGAACTGTAGGTGCTCTCTGAACTTGGTGGGTTTCTTGCAGATGTTTCTTTACCAAACTAGATAACATAATCAGACTGAAAGTTCTGAAACATCTTCATGAAAATCACCGAGCTCAGAGAGCACCAAAGCTTCCACTAAGTTACTTTATAATAAATTAAGCTGTTATTTTATTGCTATATAAATTTCATTTGCATCTTTGCTGTAGCACTCATGCGGGTCTCCCCTACATGTTTAGCTTTCTTGGTAGGCTGTTGTGAGCATAATAAAATTGGGGAGAAGAAAAGCAAATATTCTTGAACTGTTTGAAAAAAATGGATAGAATAAAAATTTAAAGCTAGTTGGAACGAGCCGGAAATGGGAAAAATATAAGCTTCCATGGATACGCTGGATCGGGAAGAATTGTTTTAATATTGGATATGGTGACACACAAGATACTTTTCTTTCACAGCAAAGAGAAATAGAATATGAAGATAGTATCGCTAAGGAAGATCAGCCAGTGGTAAGCAATATCTGTGTGGACTGTTTTTTCTTCTTCCTCAAGCTGCCTTTCTTGGGGGCCTCAAGATGGAGCTGAAGCAGCCATGGGGACTGGAACAATGGGATGTTTGGTTGCTGTTGCCAACTGGCTGACTAGTATTTCCTGGACTGTCTTTCTCCTTCATATTTGAACTGACTTTTAGGTCAGAATTAAAAAATTTCTGGGAAACTTGCAGAAATGAATAATCTGAATGCTATTTTTTCAATTTACATGTATGTTTCAGTAATTAATTTTATTGGAAATCATAATTATATACCCGTAGGCTTTTTTTAATAAAATATTTCAGATTCCCCAAAAAGGAATCTCTGCTAAAAAGTTTACCCTGCATTTGATTCTAGTACCCCCCCCATATTCAGTTTGATCTACCTTTATTACAATAAGCAGAATTAAGCATACAAAGCTCCTTCTGTAATCACCATAAGCTTTCAAACTAACTTCCAGTTCACACTTTCCTCCTGCTTTTTTCTAATCCAAGATTCTCATTGCTGCATGAATGTAATATTTAGTCTTTTGGTCACAGAATAGCACATTATTCTTTCTTAAGTTAATATCGCATTCATTTCTTGATTTGATTGTCTCAGTTCTTTATATTGCATGCTAATATTTAATTATTTTTTAGAAGTTTGTAAGAGCATATGGACACACACAAACAGAAGACAAAGCAAATACTGTGCTTTCAGAAACAAAGCAGAAATTATTTTATTTCAGCTGGAGAGCAGCAATCACTAACACTGCCATCCCCTGTCAGCCTTATGCTTTTTATACCATTTTGTTTATCCTAAGCTTTGTGGTCCATAAAAAATCTAAAAGTATTTTCCCTGAGCTATCACAGAATTTATTTTTATATAAAAGATATAAAATTCAGATACAGAATCGTAGATATTCAAATCAAAATGGACCTAAAATTTTAGTAGGTGTATTTAGATTTCAAGAGATGTACCCCTATTTTGCATATGTTAATTTTAAAATACTTCTGTTTCTTCCCAGGTTCCTGGGGAGATTCAGGGTGAGGCTGGATTAGCCGGGAAGAAGACCATTGAAACTATCAAGGCTGTAAGTTTATTTTTCCTATAATTTTCTACTAAAAGGGAAGATTCCTTCTTTTTTTAAAAAAATAAATAAATTGCAAAATATTCATATTTTTCCTTTAAAAAAAACCTCTACATTGATCACTGATTAGAAAACTGTTCAAATTAAGTGCAAACTTTCTAATGCATGGAATTAGACTATTTGTCTCTGTGTGGTTTCAATGGGAAGTAGACCTATGAGTGAGTAAGAATCAAAAACTTCATCTCATTTTTCTACCAATTGATCAATCAAGAGAGAATTATTAATGTTTCCTTAGACACACTTTCAGAACTTTAGTTAGTACAACGGCAGGATTTGAAGCTACTACAGTATGGCATACAGACATTCCCTTCCCTAAAACATAAAATGCATTTGATATTTTCCAGCATTGCAATTGTAATGACTCTAGATTGCAATTATTTGCTCTGTTAGACTTTTCTATTTAATTACTACCATGTGTTTTGGGGTGTTTTCTTTTTCCTCTCTAGGCTGAACGAATCATGGAAGCCATTGAACTCTATAGGGAGGAGACTACGAAACTGGAAGAGCACAAGGCTGTCTGCAAAGCTGCTGGAAAAGAGGTCAGGAAGGAACAACTTATGTTTTCTTCAGTGTAGTGTGAGCAAACCTATTTATTATAAGACTGAATACTTACAGAACTGAAAAGAGACATAACTGCATTATCGGTCTTATACATAATATTCATCTGATCTTGGTATCGTTGAGATCCATGTTCTAAAGTGGATAAAAATGCATTAATCGTTTACAGTGAAAGGTTCTTCCCATTTGATGTAACAGAACCATCCAAATAATATGCTAAACCCAACGGATGCCTAGGAATGCAGGAAAAACCCCAATCTGCTATTATTTAAATTGGATTAGATTTTTCCCTTCAGTTTTCATCCTTAGCCAAGTTGAAAAGAAATTTAGAAGAGATCCTATTTATTTATTTATTTAGCTTATTTATATAGCTGCCTATTTCACAAACAACTGACTATGTGGCGTACAACACAAGAGTTGAAAACTCCATTACAGTCTAAAAAAAAAGCAGATAAATAAACACATGAAACCCAAGAAATGGGAGGACAAACATATCAGCCCACCTTCCAGGGTCCCCTGGGATCCCTCCTTCCCTCTGTCTCTCCCACAGGTGATAAAAAAACCAAAACATTTTACAGTACACTTCAAATATTTTCAATATCTATTTTCTCTCTCTCTCCAGAGAGAATAATGGGCTTTAAGTTACAGGAAGGCGGATCCCAAATAAGTATTATGAAAAATTTCCAAAGGGTGAGAGCAGGGTCATGCTATAAACAACTATCCAAAGATGTAGTTGGGCGCCTTTCATTGGTTGCTATTGAGGAGGAAGCTGGACAGCCATCTGTCAGGGAAGCTTTAATTTGGAGTGTTGGACTTGACATCTGAATGGCCTCTTCCAATTCTTATGATAGGACATAGAACACTGCCCTATCCCTAGGGGGAGTGGGCTAAAAGCTCACTTGAAACAAACATGGCCTTGGATATCTTCTTTGCTTCAGACAGGAAGAAATATTCTTCATCAGTGAGCATTGCAAGGTTCTCAATACAAGGCTTAAGTTTGGAAATGGGGGCTGAGTATATGCTAATTTGATTGCCAATAATTGTAGTATAATTCATTGTTTGTGGAAACTACCTCATCAGTGTTTGTTTCTCTCTTAAGATATTGCTACTGTTTAGTACTGTTTAATACCTGGTACAGAGTATTGGCGCTAGTGCTTCATATTCTCTTCACATTTGATTCACCACATGTTATCTTCCATGATTTGCTTCTGTTGTAACAGCTCAGATTTGAACGTGCATGCAAAAAATGAGTTATTTGGAGAGCCATGATCCTGTCAAGGATCCTTACTGTTTGCTTATGTGTTTAGTTGGGAAGGGTAGAATAAATGTATATTTTATTAAACTGAGTGGATTTGAGACATGTTTTGTAAGAGCTGTTTCTTTTTTCAAGTAAGTGAAATGATGCATTTAATTTTTCAAAACAAGATATGTTAGCAAATTACTTTTGAAATTTTATATAAGTTGGTTATTATAACTCATTTTATTTCTCCAGGTTCCTCTTCCCGTAAATCCAATTCTCCAGGCTTATGGCAATATTTCAGTAAGTCTGCTTTTAGTCATTTGAAGGAACTTTCTTGGCATAAAAGATTGGATTGGAAATCGTGTGTGTGTGTGTGTGTGTGTGTGTGTGTGTGTGTGCGCGCGCGCGCATTTCTTTTCAAACTTAGTATTCCTAGCATTTCATGCTTTGGTAACTTAAAATTTCCATAAGCAGTATAACCTTAGTACCATTTTGGGAGCATCTTTAGGGCTGCCACTTACATTCTCTCTTTTTTGTACAGAAGCAGAATTATTTGAATTATCAATCTTTCTGCTGAATCCAACTGTTTTCATTTTTTAAAAAAAGTTTTCTCTTTAATCATCATTTTATTTTTCATCCATCCTAGAACTAAGGAAAAATTCCTGACAGTTAGAACAATTTAATCAGTGGAATGATTTGCCTCCAAAGGTTGTGGGTGCTCCATCACTGGAGGTTTTTAAGAAGAGATTGGACAACAATTTGTCTGGAATTATTTAGGGTTTCCCGCCTGAGCAGGAGGTTGGACAAGACGAGCTCCAAGGTCCCTTCCAAACTTTTATGCATGTCAGATAGATTTCACATGCAAACATTTTAAAAATTGGTATATTTGCAAACTTGAAATTAAATTTATGTGTTCATATTTCTGCCTATTAAAAACTTTTTAATAGATCTGTCTCTTAAAAACTGTCTTGTTCTTACAACTTAGTAACTTACTATAAGTAAGAATAGAAATTAGATACAATAAACCTTACTTAACTAAAGGAATCTTCAAGATACTTTGCCTTTTCTCACATTTACATTTTGTTTTGCTATAGTAAATCGGGCAGCTAATAATAAAATAGAATTGATTACTTACATCCACCTTACGTAGTTCTTGGGAGAATAGACAATAAAGCCACAATAAAATTAATTTCCAAAAGGAGTTGTGTAATTTTTTATTTCTGATTTCTTTACAATATGTTTTTCAATTTTTGTACTTACAAATTGGTAGATATTGGTAACAGTTCTGTTTACAATAATTATTTCTTTGAGATAATCGAAGGAGCTACCAACATGTACCAATTATTAAGCTCCAACACAATTGGTAAATATAATGTAATTTCAAGACAGTGGAATACTATCTGTAAATTATTATTAAGGGTAAATTCTTATTATTTGCTGAAATAAATAAAAGAGAATAAAGAATTCTAAGTTGCCTCATCAAATCTGAATGTAAGGTCTTTTCCCTATTTATTTAGAACTTCTAGAAGACCTTATTTTGATGTATGCATTGACTTCCGATAACTTACATTTTTAATGTTTTTCTTAGGCAACTGGCCCACATGATAATACATTTATTTGAGCTCCCATTGGGGATGTGATTATGAATTGAGATAGTCACTTCTCTGTGATAATTGTTTGTGTAGTAAGATACAGAGAAAAATAATATACATCCTAAAATCTCTGAGTGAAAGTTAAGAATCTGAATTATTTATTGTATCTTATGATGAAATTATTTTTCTTTTTCCTTGCAGCCTTCTGCATATGTATTGGATGTTCTCAAAAAGGTGAAATCAAGGTGTGTTTGTAGAAGCTTCTTACCAACAAAATCTTGAATTTCTTAATAGCTTGTCTAATGGGAGCTGCTAAGATAAAAACTAGAATGGTCTCAGCAAGTTGAATCTACTTTGTATGAATCCCATGTTCTATTTTCATAAGCTGTAGTTTTGTCAAGCTTCCAAGTATGCTACATTAAGAGAATGTGCTCTAATAAAGTACTGAGTGCTAATGAATGTGTAGCATTTAAAATATGATAATATCCTTGGAATCCCATGATACAGTGTATGTTCTAGGTCTTAATTAGATTTAGTTTTACTGCCCCTCAGACATTGTCCTTGGCTCTAATGATCAGAGTAATAAGCAGGCATATCATTGGAAGCATGTATACAAAAACATTTTTTTTGCAATTCTCTTTCTCCATTCTCTCTCACTATGAGGAACGAAACATGATTTCTGAGTGTTAAATGGACCATAAAATGCAACTAATTTACTTCTAGAGAGCCAGTTTATTCAAGTACTTCTATGCAAATTGCCATCTTTTCTTTTATGGCTGTGATTATAAATGGTTCTAATGGTAGAAATTGCCCTAGAATTTGGATTGGCAACTTGTAGTCCTCCATATTGTTGGATTGCAATTTCTATCATATTTTTCCATAATGGCTAAGGCTGCAGCTCACACATATGTTGCCTGCCTCTGCTGTGAAATGAAATTAAGCCACATTTCACACAGGATAAAGTTTCTCAAAATTTCGCTGTCTAGAGCCCATTTGAGCAGCTAGTGTTTCAGAAAAAAACCTTCAGGCATTTGCCTCTAATTATTATGCAGCTGGCTTCAAGCAAGGAGAGCAAGGAGACCAAACAAGACTGAGAATCGGAGGTTGAACCAGACCTGCCGTTTGAAACCATTGATTCAGCATGATTCCTATTTTATTTATCAGCTAATTCTATTTCTTGGAAAGAAGGCAGTAACAGTGCTAGGAACCGTTTAAAGTATGCCTTCCCTTTGCCTTGAGCATCTGCTTTTCTGCCTTGATAAGAGAAAAACATTATTGCCAGATTTTCTTTTTAATGTTGTTGGTGCATGATATGGAAATGATGATCCTATTTCTCTCTCTCTCTCTCTCTCATAGTGAATTGGAAGAATCCCTTTTGGTTTTGCCTTTCTCCTATGTGCCTGACCTTCTAATGCTCTTCAGTCAATATTTCGAATTGGGTCTAGAGGTAGAGTTGCTCTGCCGGGCTCTCCTGTTTCTGCTCAGGTAAATTGAAGGATTTTTCTTTTTAAAAAAATCAGGTATATTACTATTTTCTTTTAAGACTGAAACTGGCTAGCTTACAATTAGGGGTGTCAAACTCAAGTCCCGTGGGCAAGATCTGGCCTGTGGGGTGCTTAAATCTGGCCCATGCGGCTGGCCTGAAAATAGCAAAGGATCAGCCTGTGGTGCCTCTGGCAGCCAAAACGGGATTCAGAGGGCCGCAAAAACACCCACCCACCAACCTGCGGAGGAGAACTAGAATGCTGATCTGGCCCTCGAAGAAATCCAGTTTGACACCCCTGCATTAGATTAATATGGGGAACCTAATCAAAGTTTGGTATGCTTAGAAAGCAAATTTGAATTTAATTTTAAAAAGTCAATAGCACAATTTTGGTTCTGGTTTAGTCACTAGAACATAAACACACTGGTGAAAGTTTCTGGTTAGCCATTTCATCAAATTCATCCCTTTGTCTTGTGCTGTAGTCCAATACTTCACATTCTTTGATATCTTGTAATTGTCAAAGTCTGACAATATTTAACAGTTGTTGTTGTAGGCAACCCTGATCAGCATGCACATTCAATTAAAACTGAAAAAAATGCTGTTTACTTTGTGAATTGTTTTAATGTTGGTAATAATAATTATAATATAAATTTGTCAGTGCACAACATATGTACAATGAGATTGATTGAGTTCCCTCAGTGCACCTCCCCCTCCAACACAATACAAGTCATTATTATATATTATACCACATTATGTGGTATAATCAAGACTTACTGTATGTGTGTGTTTGCTCACTTGCTTGTTTGATTTCTGAGTAGTGTGCAAAAATCAAGCACAACAAAATGTACTCCACAATAAGATTAAACTACTAATGGCTATATAATTCATTAAAAAATGTTATTTTTTTAAAAAAAACAATGTAACTCCGTGTTGTTAAGGCTGGATGAAAAAGGTGTGTGTCTAAGCCCTTCTTAAAGGCCTGTGGATTGGCATCTCTATTCCATTGAGCGTGAGCTCTACATATGAGATCCCATCAGGGGGAGAGACTGACCCCAAGTACTAAGCAGGTGAACCAGCTGCCACTAAAAACAGGCCTCCTTATTTTATCTCACATAAAATCTCGTTTGAGGTTGGCTTTCTCTAGATGTTTCAGGGCTTAAAACAACAAATAGCATCTTGTATGTATCTGGAAATCAGTCATTAGGGTAGAGATTTCAGAATAGGCAGAAAATGGCCTCTGCAGGATAAAGTGGAAGTTGCAAATTGGGTAGCTCTACATAAAGTTTATTACAAATTTCAAGCTTGGAGGTTACCAGCAGGTGTGTTTTGGTTTTTTGGATTAAAGATTTGTAAAAATGATCTGTAATGATGATGCAGGAATTATTTGGAGGTGGTTTTGTTTTTGTTTTGGTCAAAAGCCACATTTCCCCACTATGATACCAGGGGCTTGAAGCACAGTGAGGAATGAGAAAAAAAATGACAGAGGTTACTTTCTTTTCCCTGCCTCTTCTCACTCAGTAAGCTATCTGAGGAGTCAGAGACTTGCTATTATGCTTATTATAATTATCTAACTTTATTATCTATCTCTGTCTATCTGAACGTTTCCCTTCTTTTTTACTGCCATTTTAGTTTTATGGCCACTTTTTGCTAGAGGTTGGAACTTGCAAAAGGATTCTTCCCCTTAGCTACTCTTATGCAATTTGAAGTTTTGTTATTTTTTTCCATGCTACATGAAGATAGGCTAACAGCTGAAGTTTCCCCATTCTCCCTTCCTGTCCTGGGATTTCATTTTGATACCAAGGAACCTGTTTTGTTTCCAAAATTTAGACAGAGTTCCTCCTGGATTAGTCAGGGATCCATAACCAATATCATGATAATCTTAAAATAGTTTTCCTGTGTTTGTTCCTCCTCCTAGGATACACTTTGGGCAGATTACAAGCAATCAGCTTCTTGTTCAAATTATGGAGAACCTGAAAAAAACTACCCTTTCCAGAGTCAGTCAAGTGAAAGTAAGTGTGCAGTGGCACAATATTTCTGCATATTTAAAAATTGGTTGTATAGAATTTAGAAACAACCTGGTTTCAAATTCTGGTCTGATCTCCCAAGCTCTGCAGTTCCTTATCCAGTGTCATGAAAGAGGCAGCAAGTGCATATCTCTAATCTGCATTAAGAGTTAGGATTCAGCCCCAGCTCATTTTTGAATCCCACCTGAAATAATAGGATAAGATTGCCATTATCTTACAGTTTTAAAGTGGGTGTCAGGATTACTAAAGAATTGAGCATTGAAATAGTAGAACTAGATAGATGATGCTTTAATGGTTTTCCCAGTCTTTTCTTAAAACTTCACTATTTATTTGTATTTGCCTTTAGGATGTTCTGGGGTTTAATATGGCTGGTCTCCAGTTCCTAAAAAGAGAAATTGAAGCCAGGGATGAAGTGACTTTTTTTGCCGATGCTACTGACCGATTTGAGGAGAAAAAAAGGAAGAGAAAGAAGAAACAGAAGATGATTCTTGCAGTGTTATGAAGTGGATCGCTGAAGGAATTATTGCTGCCCGAGAACACTGTGATGCATGCTTCCACCTCCTGAAGTGGGGGTGACTCTCAAGAACTTGGGAGAGGATGAGGGAACCAGACAAAAATCATGCTATATTGTTTTATCCACAATATTAAGATGGGTTGTAGGAGATCAGGACTATCTATCCCTTTCATGTGTTTGTTCCCTGCTTTTGACTGCTACATCATCATCTGATCATCTGCTTTTGCTCTTCTTTAAAAAGCCCCCTCCTATCCCAGGACTCTACATTGACTCTCATGCCACTCGTCATAATTACAAATCATGCAGATAAGAGCTCTCTGCCCTCTTGCTGGCTGAATTAATTCTTTTACTTTGTTTTACAACAACATTGTTCTCCCCACCCTCTGGAAAAAAAAAGTAAAAACAGCAATTGTTCAGATTTGATCTATGAATGACATGCTTCACACAATATAGCATTTTAGCCTGGTCTGAAAATAGGCCTTTCTTTGAAGTTTGAGAAGGTTACATTTGTACTTGCTTTTCAGTCTTATTTTTGCTATTTAATGAATTTGTCATTTTAGTAATAGCAGTTTGTATTTGACTCATAATTTTCTGGTCTTAGTTTTGGGATGGAAATGGGATCAAGTGTTTTCCACATTTAAATGAAACAGTATATTCTTTTTTCATGGACTACAAGATTGTTAGGAATATATGTTTTGAGTATTGACCTCAGTTGCATATTAGTTGCCATTTGCAATTCCATAAATCATTTTGCTCTTCTATGGTACAAGCACCATTGTAAGCCTTGAAATCCCAGCAAAAGTCTTCCAGCTAACATTTAAAAGTTAAAAATTAGATATTCAGATGTGTAAAATGAGATGGAAATCTATTCTAGCCTAATAAGGAATCTGGTTTCCTCATTTAACCTTGAACACTAGCACCAGAAAATTCAGTAAGTTGCTCAGCACATCTAAATTTTCTTATTTTTCTAGGGAAGGCACATTGGCAGAATTTCAAAATAAGTATTAATAGGTTATTAAATCTATGCCATTAGCAACATTAGCTGATTTTGATGAATGCTAGTGATGTTTTCAAGATATTAGAGATGTTGCACAAGTTCTTTGTGCTTTTTCACCTTCAGCAAGGTGAATAGCAATTTGTTAACATTCCCTTTAAATTTTCATAAATCTAAACCAAGTGATTTACTGTAATACAGAATTTTTCTTATTTATTGCTGCATATACATATTAAGATATGCTCACAATTGTTTACAATAACAATTTATATACAATGTGTAAATATTAGTTTAAATACAATTTCATTAACCTTTGAAAACATTGATTTAATATTATATGCATACTAAGAATGTTAGCACTGGAGGACTGTCATAGTATTGGAAAAAATTAATCCGGTCTGCTCTGCAAAACAAACATAAAAAATTATATAAGCATATGGAAAAATTTCTAAGCAAGTTTTCTGGTGTAACGTTCTAGTACTATGAATTTGACTGTCAAAATGCATATGCCTGCTAAATGCAACAGGTAGATTATACACTAATCATTTATCTTAGTTGCCTTGAGCATTTAAAGTAAGTTAAAGTAATAATGGAAGTGGATTTTTTCCTTTGACATATTCTTAAATATGGAATTCTTACTTAATGAAGCAGATGGCTTGAGATCACTTGTGGCCTCTGCCCTCCTCTGAAATCTGGTGACCCCCCCCCCAAAAAAAAGTTTGTCTAAAAGAAAGAAAAGTTTGTCCTACTTCCTATAGGTCTCACTTTCCTCCAAAATTGCCAAAGGCAGACTACTGCTTATCCATACGATTTGAACTTACAAATTTCTGTAGTTTTTAATTTGCATTTTCTGGTCACTAGACAAATATATTCTAAGTACTTAGGATGCAGAGGTGACTATTTGACAGAAAGTAGTTAGTCAGACAAGTGTCAGGGAAAAGGAATCTCAATTTGCCAAATCCTTTTCTCACTGTTTCTTTTTTCCTGAGGGTTAAGAAGCATACCACCTACCCCAACAGTACATTCAAATGTGTCCACCTAGAATTCTGCAAGCTGCTTATTCAAAAAAAAAAAAATCATGTGTAGCATAGTGTCCCAATAGGTTTTATGCACATTTTTAATTTGTGATATGTAACACTTGGGTATGTATTTGACTGCTTGAATATTCTGGTGTAATTCTCTTATTTAAGATCTTCCCCCATCAATGTTGTTTGTGCCTCTTACACGCAAATGGTTGTCCCCCCCAAACCCCAGCTTTCCTAACCCCTTCCCCACCAGTACACCCCAAGCTCCTTCTTCCTCCCAATAGTGGTTTAATTGCCACACATAAGCTCTCCTTTTAATATGGTGAAACCAAGACTTTCCATGCTGAAATACAATTGCTTACATTAATGAGGAAGCTTGTGAGGAAGTATTACTCTAAACTGAGAGGCTGGACTTGCTGGGATCAGCTGGATGCTGGAGGCATGCCGTCCCTTGGGATAGTTTGATGGTCTCTCATCATAGATGCTTTCTGTTAAGACTGGTGAAAAAGCAAGTTAAGGAAATACATTGTTTTGCTAAACCCTTTCCCAAGCCTTGAGTGTAATAAAAGCATAATAATAAAACATAAAGACAGTCTTTAAAAAAGAGGCTGCCTCTACTTACATTTTGGCAACACAAAAAGCATTCAAAAAATACAATGAGACGAGATTCCAGAATTTTCTTTCTTACTCAGTTTAGCAGAGAAAGTAATAATGATGTCCCTGTGGCACAGGGTCATAGACTACACCAAGTAAACTGTTTATAGTTCCTTTTATGTTAATACAGCAACTCGTGTTTGACAGTCCTGGGGCTGATAATGAAAGGCCACATTATTCTCAGTTGTACAAATCAGTAATGTGTGTTTGTGCTTTCAGATATATCTTGAGAGATGCAGTTTTCCTTAATATCAAAAAAATTAACAGGACGACAGTAGAACACTGAAAAACTCCAAACAAAACCTTTGTTATAAAATAGATTGAAGTGATATTCTTGTTCTTAGAAATAGGAGTAATGTAATCGTTTGTAAACATCTCTTTTTGATAATATGCCAGCAGCTGAAGTGAACAATAGAAAGTAGGCATGACTACTCTTATAGCAACTTCCAAATACATGCATAATGTTTATGATGGATATTGCCTTGGAAAGGTTTTGTTCTGAAAGTTAGCACTAGAAATAAAGATAACAAGGGTGGGATACTAAATAAGTAATTAAGTGATTTAAAGAAAGGTAAGATTGCCACTTGTCAGTGGAGTAAAGGCCATTAGTTTATCCTGTATAAATTCAATGTAGAACAAAAGAAAAAAAAACCACTGAAAGATATTTGCTTCCACAGGAAGAAATAGTGTTTCAGTTTCTGTGTGAATTTCAATCTGATGGGAAAGTTTGTCCAAGCCCTCATCTCCTTCCACTCCAACAGCCATGGCAAAAATCTCTATTTCCAGTACAGTTTGCAGTCCAGCAGCCACCTAGAAAAGACAGATTATATAATTCACCACGAAAAAAATTAGATTCTTGCCTCCCACTCCCCACTATCTTGCCCTCTTTAAATTATTCTTAACCATCACCCTAAATAAACTAGCTGGTAAGGCTTTTCATTTGTGACTTCAATTTTTACCACACCATTTCTACTATAAAGCCATCTTCACTTGAAGCTGTGACACAGAATGACTTGTTTGGAGCACAGAATGAAAGAAAGCTAAATCCCATGTAATTTTCTTGGGCGGGAATTGTGCCAAACCATTTTTATGGCACTATACCCTTCAAGTGCTCAACATAGAATTTCCTTCCAGTTACTGTACTGTATAATCCCCAAAGCTGATGATACATCATTTGAACACAAACTTAAGAATTGTGGGTAAGCAGCATGTTAAAGGTAATTTAAAGGATTTCCCATATTTAGGAACAGGAATTAGTCATTTTAAAAAAAAGCTGCTCATTAGAAGGAAGATGAAGTTTTCTTATAAAGCCTATACAGATTACATATAGGAGGTTGGTATGGAAATATCAAAAAAAGAGATTACTACATCATTCTGTTAAGATACAGCAATCAGCCCATTTATCTCAACACCCATGTATAGGTTGCTTGGGCTATTCACTAGAGTAGCACTCATTCCTGGGGCAATTTGTTGGCTAAATGAAGAGATGCCTCCCAGTTTGCATCAGACATTCTCATGTTGTTCCAATGACTTCTATAATCTTAATGGGAGAAAGAGAAAGTTCTGAAGCACATTTGTACATGATCTTTCAGAACTGTTTGAAGAGTTTAAAAAACAAAACCTAAATTCAAAAAATGTGATCACTACTTCACAAACGTCACCACTACTGCAGAGTAAAAGGCAGCACTTTTGGTATTCTGCTTCAACTGTCTAACACTGTTTTCTGAACTGTTATATTTTATTGCTATTTGAAAAGAAGGGCCATTTCAATAAATCTGGAGTGTCAAATCAATCCCACATAAAAGATAATCCATTCTATGCCTCTTTATTAATTTGTTGCTAGTAGGTTATATGTGCTTGGTCTCTTTTAAATCCTTAACTACTGTAGAGAACCCTTGTGATTGGCCATTAGCCCAAGAAAATCTTTAGTACTGATCATTAAACTATATTATATCCCTCTAAAATTATTCTATCTGTAGCTTGTTATAGGGAGAAATCTTATTGAAGTACTAGTAGGAGAAAAACATTCTGACCTCCTCCAAAGATTACACTTCCATTTTTAACTGGAATTTGAGATGTTAAGATGACAAAAAGCACTAACGCTAGAGAACTCATTGAATGGCTTAGTCTATTGATTTCTACAAATCACTAATCAGGACCCACATTATTCAGTGACAATTCAGAGGAAACAGACGCTAGACAGATATCAGCTAAGAAGCCCGTAATATGCTGCCAGTTCAAAATGGATGGATAACACTTGAACTCAGTTGTGAGGAAAGACCCATAGATCACATTTAAGAAAAGTGGTCTGCCTGCAGAAGAAAACCAAATCAAATTATTTAAACACCCTAGACTTACAGGCCCTGGAGTGTAGTTGACTCGCAATCCTGTAGAAGGTGGTGGTTGTTTCACCCGAAACCTGGCAAGTAATAGAAACATTAATTTCTTTTTGTGCTAAATCAGAGAAATAAGCAGTCCAGAGAAATTGGCTTTCTTAATTAAAATATTTTCAATATGTGTCAAGAATGTTCAGTCATGAAGGCAAAGTTTATATTCATAGCTTAAGAAGCCCCAAAATAACCACTTAGAATGGGTTACTAAAATTACATTCAGCCCTTTTCATTTCTTAGCTACCATCTTTATCTAAAATATATTTTTCAGTCTGAAGAAAGACATACAGTGTGACTTGGATAGTCTCCGAAGTGGGGCGTGGAGGAGTCACAGCTGGGTATTGTCACGGCCCATCTGCCCTGAGACTGAGGTAAATCTTGAGGCCACACTTCTACCTTTCCTCTGACTCCCCTAGATTAACCCCTGTCTTCAGCCCAGAAGGAGCTAAATACCTGGCTCTCTTCGGTGTGAATTTTTTCTCTTTTTTTTCCCTTTTACCTTTATTTTTTCCCTTTCAAAATTGTTCTTCTGCAAGAGCGTTACCTTCAAGCAATTCGTCAGACAATCCTCCTCTCGTACACTCAGCAATCGGCCTGGCACAGTAGCGGTAGCGCTACTGAGAGGCCTTGGAGCAGCAGCCCGGCAGTGAGGCAGGGAGGCCCAGGCCCTGCACTCACAGCACGGCTGGAATGCGGGCTGCTCCACGGAGATCTTCAAGCAAACAGGAAGAGAGTGGCTCAATCGGAGCAGCTCACGTGATCAGACCGCATGGTCGGCGGTCGCCATTTTGAACAAGAGAGCGTAGGCGCGGAGACCACTTCTGGTCTCTGGTCGCAGAGACTGCAAGCACCACGACCACCGCCAGCCAGAAGAGGACAGGGCCTGAACTCCACTGGGCATCTGGGGAGGGCCACAGCATTGGGTGGTAGGCCGGATCCAACTCAAGTCGCGGATCGGCGACATAGAAGAAATGAAGGAGAGGAGGGGGATCGTCTAACAGTGAGTAGAGCGATGGCAGACAATTTGAAGAGTGTGGAGCTGGGCAGAGCTTCCCCAAGGGGAACAGACCCAGGAGAAGGATCCTCCAGAGGATTCTACCCTGCAAAGAGGGGCAGAGCCACAGCAGAAAAGTGCACCTCCAAATCGCGGAGCACTCTAGAAAGGAAGTGAGGGTGACCAGGGTGGCAGGCAGAAGAAACAGGGACACGATCAGCCCTTCCCCGGCCAGATCCCAATCCCTTAACCAGGGGATCCGCCTGGCCTACCAACCTCGCCACGTGGTTCCCTAAGGTGGGGTAGCTCCTTATCCCCCCCACTATCTCCAGCGGATCCTTCCGGAATGCAAGGAGACCCCTTCAGCTGCCGTCAAAGTAGCCAGCCAAGGCAATGCCTGGCACCACAGAGCCACAATCCTAGCGTGGATTAAGAGCTTCCCAGACTATCTCCAGCTTACCCAGAGCTCTCCCAGGGCTTCCAAGAGGTTTTGGCTAGAGCCATTGCCCAGGGTATCTCCTCAGGCATGCAGCATCAGTTTCAAGGGCCTAGAAGTAAAGCAGGCCACAGAACACCTCAAGGTCATTTAGACCAACCTGGCCCTTCCACCCCCCCCCCCAGGACCTCAGAAAGGACTCTCCCTCCACAGCCAGTGAGGATTCAGGGTCAGAGGAAGGGGAGATTAAGGAAGTAGATTTCTCTGCTGAAGAGGAGGCCCAGGTCCCCAAGGCTCCATCCATCTTGGGCCTATTCCCACCCACTCTCTTTACCTCCCTGCTATGTAAGGCTAAGGCCACAGCAGACCTGGAAGTTCCAGTAGCCAATCAGGATACTGCTAAGGCTGGCACGAGAAGGAGAGCCAAGAAGGGCCCCTTCCACAGACCCCAGGTGGAGGAGGAGGAAATCCCCATCCCAGAACTGTTCCTAGAGGTGCTCAAGTCACAATGGGCCCAACCAGGAACCTTTCCCACTCTTGGGAGAAATGATTGCAGATTTTATAACATTAATGCGAACTTTGATCAAACCTTGCAGGTTCCATTAGTGGACGCCACAATGGTAAGCCTGCCATCTTCACCAGTGGTGACAGGAAACATCTCCAACTGTCTGAAACTGGAGGTCAGGAAGATGGAATTAGTCATGCACAGGACGTTCCAGGCAGCATCGTGGGCAATCAGGGCTGCCACAGCAGCCTCCTTTTTTAGCAGGTTTACCTTACTGTGGCTGGAATAGCTCTGTGACCGAACCCCGGCTTTGGACGTCAGACTCCTGCAGGACATCACTAGGTGATGGCAGCCATCCAGTTCTCAGCAGATGCCACACTGGATGCGGTAAGATACTCTTCCAGGGCTCCAGCCTCATCAGTGGCATCCAGGCGTTTGCTGTGGCTGCATAACTGGCAGGCGGAGTTCCAGGCAAAGTGGCATTTGGCAGGCACAGAGTACACAGGAGGGCAGCTGTTCGTTCCATCTCTGGAACCCATCGTCATCGAGGACAAAAACAAGCAGGTGGTCTTTCCGTCCACGTCCAGACGACCGGATCACTGCTCAGCACCGTACCCCAGAAGGTCCACTTTTCGAGCACCCGAACAGGACTTCCAACAACCAAGGTACTCTGCACCCAGGTTCCCCAGACAAGGAGATAGACAATTCTCTAGGGACAAGTTCAGGTTCCAACAATCTAACAAGCACCCCTTTCAAGGGGGAGATGGCCGCCCCTTCTGCAGAAACAAGTGATTCAGGCTCAAATCACCCTATCAGTGGCCGCTTTTCTCTATTCGCGGATCACTGGGCGGACATCACCACCGATGCTTGGGTGTTGCAAACTATCAGGTTCGGCTTATACCTGGAATTCCGTTCACAACCCCTGAATAGATTTCAGGTCTTCTCTTCCTCCAGGAATCCGGTCAAGCACTCTCTCATGCGCAAGGCTATCCAGCATCTCCTGGAGATCAGAGCGGTGGAGCTGGTACCGGAGGGGGAGAAGAAATCTGGATTCTATTCAAACCTCTTTGTGGTTCCCAAGAGCTCTGGAGGTTGGAGGGCCATCCTGGATCTTAAGTTACTCAATTCCAGGCTGGTCTACCGTAGGTTTAAGATGGCCTCACTCAAGTCTATCCTAGAGGGAAATAGACAAGGGGACTACCTAGCATTGACCTCACCGAGACTTACTTACACATCATGATTGCACCCGACCACTGCAAGTTCCTCAGGTTCTCCTATGGGGGCACACATTACCAGTACAGGGCTCTTCCCTTCGGTCTAGCATCCACACCTAGGACGTTTACCAAGGTATTGGCCGTGGTGGCAGCCCACTTCCGCTCCAACCCGATCCGGCTATACTGCTACCTTGATGATATCCTTGTATTAGCACCCTCGCTAGCTCGAGCAGAGGGGGACTTAGGGCTCACCATCGCCACACTGAGATTGCTGGGATTCTCAGTTAACCTCAAGAAGAGTCACCTGACACCCACCACCAGACTTAACATTTAGGGACCATTATTGACTCGGTGGGGGGAGAGGTTTTCCCCTCAGAGGAGCGCAGGGATAGCATTGTGCAAATGATTCTAGAAATTCACAGACTTCAATCTGTCTCTGTAGCCCTTCTTTCCAGGCTTCTCACTAAGTTCATCTCCTGCATCAGGATAGTGCCTTGGGCCCAACTCCACGCCAGGGAGCTGCAGTGGTTCCTGCTTCCCCACCAGAGAGACGAAACAAGCGACGCAGAATTCAAGGTCAGGATGACACCCCAGGTACACCTGTCCCTCCACTGGTGGACGTCCCTAGCCCTGTCCAAGTCTCCCTGTTCAGGGAGTCGGACAGACTTGTGTTAACAACAGATGGAAGCCTGTTTGGTTCGGGGCACACCTGGATTCCCAGCTGGCCCAGGGGAGGTGGACACAGACCAACCTTCACAAGAGCATCAACTGGTTGGAGCTCAGGGCGATCCACCTGGCCCTACAACGATACAAGACGACGGTAGCGGGGAAACACATCCTGGTCCTCATGGACAATGTGGCGGCCAAGGCACAGGTGAACAAACAGGGAGGCACCCACTCCAGGACACTGCACGACGAGGCAGTGAGATTGGGAAACTGGGCGGAATGGAACCTCCTATCGATCCGTGCAGAGCACATCTCCGGGGTAGAGAATCACCAGGAAAACTGGCTCAGCAGAGAGTCGGTAGACCACGGAGAGTGGCAACTTCATCCCAACATCTTCAACCAAATCTGCCAGAGGTTCGGAAGACCGTCAGTGGATCTCTTCGCCTCCCCGACAAACGCCCAGCTCCCGAAATTCATATCGTGGTTCCTGACACAGGAAGCGATGTACAATGACTCCCTATGATGCCAGTGGCCATCAGGTCTTCTTTACCTCTTTCCCCCTATCCCTCTCCTTCCCGGGATGCTCAGTTAACTGGTATTAGAGAGGGCAGAGGTCATTCTGGTGACTCCATACTGGCCCCGATGCCCCTGGTTCGCAGATCTAATAGAGCTGTCCATTGCCCCCCATTGGAGGATCCCTCAGGGGGAGGTAACCCTGACCCAGGGGAGTCTGCTTCACCCAGACCTAGACTGGCTCCAATTGATCATCTGGAGATTGAGCGGACACAGTTAAGAGAGGCCCAAATTTCCACCATAGGAACCATAGAGGCGGCCAGGAGGAGATCCACCACTCGCATCTATGACATGACCTGGGTCTCCTTTGCGGCCTGGTGCCGCTCAGCTCAGGTAGAACCAACAACGGCCACGGTTCTGCAGGTCCTGGACTTCCTCCAGGATGGCCTGGAGAAGGGCCTGGCCCCTAGCACCCTCAGAAGGCAGGTCTCGGCCCTGGCCACCATCCTGGGGGGAGTAGGCACACAGTCCTTGTCCCAACTTCCCATCATCAAACAATTTCTCAGGGGTGCAACCAACCTCAGACCCCCGGTGATTCACTGTTTCCCCTCATGGGACCTGCCTACAGTGCTCCAGGCTCTCCTGGAAGCACCCTTTGAGCCTCCAAGAGAAGTGAGTCTTCAGCTGCTCACGCTCAAGGTAATGTTCCTCGTGCCTATTACCTCAGCCAGGAGGGTGTCAGAGATTAACGCACTGTCAGCCAGGGCGGATCTCTGCATATTCCACAGTAACAGGGTGGTCCTAAGACTCGACCCGGCCTCCATGCCAAAAATTAATTCTCCCTTTTATAGGGCTCAGGAGATCATTCTCCTGAATTTTTGTCCAGCTCCCTCCAACGGAAGGGAGAGGTCCTGGCATCGTCTGGATGTCAGGAGGGTGCTGCGCATCTATCTGAAGCGCATGTCGCCCATCAGGTGGTTGGAGGCCCCTTTGGTCTCCTACCACTCAGGAACCAGGGGAGCGAAGGACTCCCCAGCCATCATCAGTAGATGGATCAGGCTAGCCATCTCTAAAGCCTACGAGGCACGGGGACTTCAGTTGCCCGAGGACATCACCGCGCACTCCACCAGGAGTGCAGCTACTTCGGCGTCCTGAGCCACCCAGGGCCCCAACAAGGACATTTGCAGGGCGGCAGCATGGGCTTCGCCCTCTCCATTCATCAGATACTATAGACTGGAGGCCTTCGCTTCCGCGGAGGCGTCCTTTGGGAGGAGAGTCCTCCAGAGAGTGCTGGATACTCAGGGCGACTCAAGCCCTATGGACCCTCCCAGGGACACCTAGCTTTGGTAGGTCCCAGCTGTGACTCCTCCTAAGCCCCACTTCAGAGACTGTCAGTTGGTCTTACCTGAACTGCATGTCTTGAAGGATGGCGTGGGAGCAGTCACTTCCCACCTGTAGTGTGCCCCACACAGGGGGGGCCTGAGTAGAGTGATACCGATCAGTCAGGGACCAGGATGGGAGTGGGGGGGTTACCCTGTTTCCTTCCTTCTAGAGACGCCTTGACTGGATCATCGGTTAATCTGGAGAGTCAGACGAGAGGTAGAGGTGTGGCCTTAAGATTTACCTCAGTCTCTGGTCAGATGGGCTGTGACAATACCCAGCTGTGACTGCTCTCATGCCATCCTTTGAGACATGCAGTTCAAGTAAGACCAATTGACATTTCTAGTGAGAGAATGACATATTGCTTCCTTGTAATTAGTATTTGAAAGCTCATTTTACTGGGCTCATTTGAAGCCATCTAAAGCTAAGTGTTTGGTTGGAAATTTTCTCCCACTGCAATTTGAATGCATGTTAAAACAAATGCAGCCTCCCTCCTAATCTCTTCAGTCTGATGACAGATAAAAATGGTCTCAAACAGAATATGTATCTAAAGGACTAAAGTGAGACTGGGAGACAACCTATGTACATTTTAACAACCTCCAGCTGTTTTCTGTAGTCTCTATCGCTTATAACGGAAAAGGCAAACTAATAAAAAGATGAACGTTTTGGCCAAGGGATCAATTGAGGACTTCTTATGCCACCTGAATTAATAGGAAGATTTTTATGTAATTGTGCAGAAAACCTGGATCCAGACTATGGACAGATCATCTGAGAAAGCTTCTCAGATGGGCTATTAGGAATCAGTCCAATGGTAATTTAGAAATAAGAGTTTTTAAAATATATCTTCAGTCTTGATATAATTCTGATTTAAGAGCCATGTGGGGCACAGTGGTTTTGCCTATTAAACATGCTGTTTGTATCAAAACTAGGAATGAAATTGTCATGTAATTAGAATTTCCAAAGAGCATATATTGGAAGAATCTCAGGCAATTTCCCCCTTCATACTTCTACTGGTGGCCTCATCCATTGCCCAAACTAGATTTCCCTGAATAATAAGATTGTGATGAACATTGACAGAAGAAAAAACTCCCGCATGACAATTTGTAAAATATCACCAATGCTAGCATGATAATTTCTTCCCAAAAGGAAGATTTCACACTGAACTCTCAGCACAGATGCAACTATAAACCAAAAAAATGTGTTTGAAATCCACTACATTTCTTTCTGCATTGGATTGAAGAGGCAAGCTAAGTAAAGCTGAGGGTATTGGAACATTCAATAGGTATGTCCATGTGGGTCCATAAGCCATGTAGTTGGAACTAAATGGTCTTTGATCATCATAACTATCTTATTCTTTATAAATGCCAAGGAAGATAATACTGAGCATTACAGTATCACCTTTATTCTAAATTCAAAAGATTATTCTGCTATAAAAGAACCCATCAGAAATGGAATTCTGTCTCATGCCATTGCAGAATGTAGCTTCAATTGTTATAGTGATTTTCACCTTCACTCCATGCTATTCTAACAGAATTTTGGACATTGGAAGTTTGTGCATCCTTGCCAGTTCAACTCAAAGTCACTAAATGCTAACACTACAACAATGAGGACGGAAGGGGAGATTAAGTAGGCATTTCATCTTTTGGACAAATAGTTTAAGGCAATGATGGCTAAACTTTTTCCCATTGCGTGTGAAAAGTAGGGGGAGCATGGGGGAGTCATGTGCATGTGTGCCCTCCCCCTGCACATGCAACCCCCCCACATGCATGTGCGACCCCACCCTCCCACCCTCTTTTCGTGCGCAATGGCATGGTGCACCCATTTTTCGCCCTTCCAGGCTCCAGAAGCTTTCTACAGTGCCATCTGTATTATACAAACTATATGCATGACTCAAAGAAGAACAAATGTTTCTATTTTGAAAATTATTATTATTGATGAAATTCAGGTCCATGTGTTGCAGTGGTGGATTGCAGGCGGTACGCCCGATACGGGTGTACCGGAGCCAGCTGGGAGCACTGGATACCATTCCAGTACGGTGCTCCGGAGGGCCCACCTACCCGCTGTCGCTTCTAACCGTCCTTTTACGTCTTCAGCACTTCTGCGCACATGCACAGCGCATGCAGCACCTGCACAACGCTCTGCTTAGCAGCTGTAGCATCGCAGAGGCTCGCAGAAGCGCCAAAACGCATGCGCGCATGTCTACGTGGACGCTGGCAAGCCCGATCCAACTGTACTGGTTGGAACGGAATCCGCAATCCACCACTGATGGGTTGGTGCTATTCTCGTATATTACATACCTGTAGTCACAGAGATAAATTATCCTCACTCTTCCTCCTTGAACAATTTACCACTCTGACATCATTCGTATAGAAAAGAATCTCAGTTATCTGCAAACAACTCCATGGCATATCCCCAAACCACCCAAAAGCAAAATATTTTGATGTGTTATCCTGTGGCAGATACAAAATATAGACAAACCTGCAGAAGTCCATTCCAACATTCTTCAAAGCCACTGTGGTTGAATAAGTGCAGCCCTCCTTAAGAATGCCAAATGTCACCTTCGGTGGGATAAGAAGGAATCCTGACATTGTCTGGGAAGGTGCTGTGACAGAGCATGTGCGGACTTTGCCAGAAACAAGGTCTACATTCTTCACAAACAAGAGAGATTATTTAGGAAGGACAGACAGATCAAAAGCCATACATCTATTGATAAGAATAAAGGGTATTTATAGATTGATATTCTACTCATTCACAGCGGCTATTAATACTGCAATTCTGAAATGAAGATTGGTATTCCGAATTCCCAATAGGCAAAATATAAAACAATTATTTTTGTCAATTGGAACGTAATATACCTTGAATTATAAGTGGATGTGCCCATGTGAAATCAATCATGTGAATAATTTAACATGTACAAAAATGTATAATATTTATTTCTGTTCTGTAGTATGGATTTGAACTTAAGGCATGAAAGCCTATTTAACCTTCAGTACACTCCTGGATGAGAAACAGAAATTTGTAATATAATTTTTGCTAAGGGTTTTATTTTTCTTTGGTAAAATTATATTGCATGGTTCCTTGGACACTCAATGCATATTGAATATTATTCCATAATAATGGTGCTTCTCTTACTTTTCAGCTGCCATCAAGCCTGTTTTAGACTTACACAATCAGACGAACAGGTCTTACTAAATGATAAACTATGGTTAATTATCATTGGAACACATGAGGCAGAAACCATCCAACAGCAGAAGGAAATGGTCACAGAGAAAGCAAAGATTTGAAATAAACTCCTTTGTTCCCAATCCTAGCTTCTTCTGTCTTTGTGGATGAGAGGGGCAAAACTCCTTTTGTACTCAGTATATAAGCAGTCCAAAGGGAGGGTAAGAGGAAAAGTCCACTCCTAATCCGTTCCAATGCAGTCCCCAAAACCAAGCTACACACCTTCCAGGATGACAGAGTGGATGGGGGTACAAGGTTGTCCATTTGCTCCAAACCCTTTGGCTACTGTTTAGTGACAGCTGGAAAAAGCCAGCTAGCTACTCGTGGTATGGAAGAAACCCAATACTCTTAGGTACTTGAGTTGCTATTCTATGTAACCTTTAAGTCTTGACTTGTTACATCTGATATCCTGATAGGGAAAGAAAGGAGTATACAGGTGGAGGGATAAGCTCGAATGCTTCTCTGTGACAGCTTTTCTAGTTTCCCTTAACCAAATGGTTGAACTAGTCATGAATTGCAGGTCGGATATGTTCTTGGATCAAGTTCAACCTTCAACTTCCTACCCAGCCAAAATACCACTCTGAGTTCCATCCATTGAATTTTAAGTTCAACAATGTTGATATTGAATAAGTGCCAAAAAGGTGCTTCCCTGGATGGGGCTGTTTTAGGAGGACGATAATCATTCTAAAGCATTTATTTCTTATAAACACATTCTATATTTCCTCTAAAGAACTCAAAAGTGATGTTCATGGTTCATGTCTCATGTGATCCTCACATTAACATCACTTTGAGATAGGTTGAGTTGAGGAAAAGGAATGTTTCTAATTCAACTAGCAAGCTCCATGAACAAACTAGGATTTGGGAATTTGTTCCGGTCCAATACTATCATCATTGCACTTCACCGGTAGGAAACCTCAACTGATGGCAGACTCTGCTGAAATTTCTAAAACTTGAGAAGTGGATAGAAAACATGGTGATGCATCTTTCATACCTCTTTTAAGCATGATCATCTTAACTAGAACCAAAAGGTTTCATGAAACAGAAACAATTCTAAATATAATGAAGGTAAAGTTAAGGAATTTTTTTTTAAAAAAGTAATTGTACTGTGGGAATTAAGTTACTTTTTGCCTTGGTACTGATCGTGGCTTGTTTCTTTGTATCAAAGCAGGCAATTTCACTTTCTCTTTTCTTGGGGATCCTGTAACATCCACAAGAAGTGGTTGAAGTTTTGGATGGACCTGGACTCGTGTTTCATTTCCTTCTGCACCTACTGAGAAGGAAAAGAGTTTTAAGACTACAGTATATGTCCAGGCCTAGGCTAATTCTACAATTCGCTGAAGAGGTTAGGGTACAATTAGAACCAAAGTGACAAAGGAGGATAAGATTGTTTGTAGTGATGTTCTCTGAGGTCACTTAGGAGAAAAAGAACCTGACTGGTAAAAAAAGAGAATTTTATTTGATAATCAATTGAAGGCCTTGAAGAAATAGTGATACTTTCAAAGGAAAGAGAGTGGCATCTATTTTCAGTGAGGAGAGGCTTGCAGAATTATGCAATTTTTCTAGGTTGAAGGCTTTTGAGTGGCATGCCAGAGATTTTGCAATACCAATAGCACTTAGATTTATATACTGCTTCATAGTGCTTTTACAGCCCTCTCTAAGCGGTTTACATATTATCCCCAACAATCTGAGTCCTCATTTTACCCACCTCAGAAGGATGGAAGGCTGAATCAATCTTGAGCCTAGTGAGATTTGAACTGCCAAACTGCAGCTAGCAGTCAGCTTAAGTAGCTGCAGTACTGCACTCTAACTACTGTGCCACCTTGTCTCATTTAAGTAACAAATTGTGCATGGTAGATGCATGCAGCAATTTTTAATACTTTGGGGATCAAAGGCCAGAGGTGAGTTGCCTGCATTTTTAAAGTTAGTTTTGGATCTCAAAATACTGCCAATACTGATTATAGTTAGTGGATATGTTATTTACTAAAAGATCTATTAATAACTGCTTTTTTCGAAGAGCCCTTTAGAATGGTTTACCGTTTGTAAGATGGGATGGATAGGTTTCAGCATAGTTTGAGGAAGAAATGGTGTTTAGAGGCAGTTCTTTGGAATGCTTATGTCTGACCAAGCCATCTCTGACACCTAAAACATAAATATAAATTCATCTGAAGCATTTCTATTTTGCTATTTATTTATTAAACAAATTTATATAACTGCCCAATTCACGCAGAGATAGATGGTTTACAGAATTTTCAAAATGCACCATGTAATAAAATCCCATTAAAAAGCCCCCATCCCTCACCCAGAGAAACAACAGCACAATCAAATCAGTCACTATGACACCTCACTGTGACCAACTCATCATGACCAACTCATCATGACCAATTCCCGTGGATAACTTGCCACGGGACAAGAGTTACACTAATATCAAAGAACTCATTAAAGAAAGAATGCAAAAGGAAGAACAAAATGAAATGTGTGAACAAAAATTTAAATATTTTTTACATTATTTTAAATAAATAAATTGAATTGTTGAATTGTCCTGTAGCGAATTGTTCTGTGGTGGGTTGGCTATAGCAAGTTGGTCATTGGCATGTTGGCCATGGCAAATTGGTGGCGACTTGGCTGTGGTGGGTTAGCCACGGCACGTCCCATTCTACTCTAGCTCATTTTTGGTCCATGGGCCTGGTGAAAAAGACTCTATTTTTAGGGTCTTTTGGAAAAGTAACAGGGAGGAGTTCATTCGAACTTAGATTCACTATTCACTCTGAAAGGTTTATACATTATTTTACAGAAAAATAAAATAGAAAAAAGAATACATAAAATAAATTTTAAAATGACAAAGCCTGCCCTTCTGCACATGGTTTGAAAATATATAATGTGAAAGTTCTTAATGTTTTATAAAGCTTTTATAAAGACCAGCTATAATGAAAGCAAATTATTTGCACGATATCCAGAACAGATGGTCCTGTTCTTTCTCATAGGGAAGTTAGTCACAAGGGGTGGAAAGGCCCCAGGCTAGTCCCTGGCTGTTCATGAGAGCAGCACCATATATTCTGTGTAATGAGGAAAATGTTATCTACATCTTTAAAATTTCCTGTCCACTTGAAAGCACAGCATGCAAGAGAAATTCTTTGAGAGTTTGGTGACATTTTCACTGTAAAAAGGCAGGTGATTCAATTGCTATGTAACTCAAATGTTCCACTTTGATGATTCCAGTAATCCAGGGAACAGGATTGTGGGGGCAGGACTGCTAGTTGCAGCAGGTATTGATGGGACTGAAGGTGAAAGATTTAAGGGTTGCAAGGGAATGTCTTACAATTACAGAAACAGGCTATAAAGGATAATCATGGAATACGGTTTGGTAAGTTTTATGAAGAAAATTCCTAATTTATTTTCTTAGTATCCAATTACTTAGAACAATGAGATTTTTAAGAGGAAAGCATCCAATTAGCCTTACTTATTTCCTTATTCACTAAAGAATTTAAAATGAGATTGCAGGAGAGAAAAAGTAGAAACACAGAAAATATTGCAGGTATTTCTCTCTATCATGTTTTTTTTTAAAATATACTTTTCAAACAAGTAGTCAGCTTTTCTAAATTAAGACTGGTAGCATAGAAGCCACTCTGAATCCGATAGACACATGCTGCAGATATCACTGTACAGAGAAGCTTTGCACCAAAGTAACTCAGTTTCTAAATTCAGGAAATTATGGATGATACATTTCAGGCTCAATCAAGTTTTCGTGATTTATTTATTCTGCATTATTTATGCATTATTTAAAATGTAAATTGAAATTGAAGAATTGAACTGAATAAGCTTCTTGGATGAGAAGCAAAACATTTTCAAAGAAAACAAAAAACTAAAAAGTCCAGCTGCCTTTTAGAAAAGCACCTTTAGGACAACTATGACCTAGATGATTGAGAATCTCCATAGACTGTAAATTAGAATATATATATTTGTGTATGTGAAATAACCAAATTTTTCAAGAGTTCTGTATTTTTTGATAAGATGTTACAAAGGTTTAGACACTGAAATTAAAAAAAAATAATTTATATTTATTGCTGACAATAAATACTGTGCAAAAGATTTACAAGTGCTTCATTGCCTACAAGAAAGCCTTTGATTCTGTTGCTCATGAGAAGCTATGGAGAGAAGCTATGGAGATGTACTAGCACATCTGCTCAAGTTGATTAAATCACTGCACAAATCAGAAAGCCATTGTGTGCATACCATATGGAGACATTGAATGGTTTAAGATAGAGAAAGGAGTGTGGCAAGATTGCATACTCTCTCTTATTCAACCTGTATGCCAAAATAACTGTGAAGAAGCTAGATCTTGAAGAATCAAAAATTGGGGTAAAGATTGGAGGTAGAAATATCATCAGTCTTTGATATGCTGATAACTCTTGTCTCAGAAACTAAAGTAGATCTGGAACATCTGATCAAGAAAATGAAAGAAAAAAATGGGAATTTTGGTCATTTTCTGAACATCAAAAAGACCAAACTCATGACCACTGGAGACAAAATAGAAACTGATGGTGAAGAGATAGAATGCATGGAAAAATTCACTTTATTGGGATCACAGTTCACTCAAAGCAGTAAATGCATCTCAGAAATAAAATGTCAGGTTGAATCAGTTCACACAGCTATGAGGAATATGAGCTGAATGTGGAAAAGCAAGGACATCAGCCTAGCAACCAAATGTGGTATAATCCATTCTATTGTATTCCCTGTAGCTGCCTGGTTGTGAAAGTTTGGCATTAACAAAGCAAGACAAGAAAAAAATGATTCATTTAAGTTGTGATAAAGGCTCCTGCATATTCCTTGGATAGCAAAGGTGACCAAGTACTGGAGTACATAACAGCAGATATGTCACTGGAAAGAGAAACTACAAAACTGCATTTCACTTATTTTGGTCATGTCATGTCGGGGAATTCACTGAAGAAAGCAATTACATTTGGAAGAATTAGCAGTAAAAGGAAAACAGGCCACCAAAGAATATGGTGGTTGGACGCCATCAGACTTGACACTAGCCAGTGCATAGAAGTAGTAGTGCAAGATAAAAAGAGGAGGTGAGAGCTGGCCCATAGAATCACCAAATCAATGTCCATACCACTGAATGGATGACATCATCATCATCCATCATCATTATTATAGGTATAGGTATAGGTATAGGTAATTTTATTTGTATGCCGCCCTTTTCCCTGGGGGGACTCAGGGCGGCTCACAGTTCAGAGGGAAGGGAGGACAAACCAGATTAAACACATAAGACAATACATCGTTAAAAGCACAACATTCATACAATTCGGGTGGGGTTGAGGTCTTTAGCCCCAGGCCTGTCGGGACAGCCAGGTTTTAAGGGCTATGCGGAAGGTCTGGAGGGTGGTGAGGGTGTTTTTCAGTCCCACAATTCTGCAAAATACATCTGCAACAGCCTAAAGGCATTTTTTCCATTTTCCCCCCTATCAATATGAATTACTGGTCTTTTTTCATATTACTTCTCAAGCATTTGTTATATGCTACCACCTTCAAAGTATCCAGCACCCAATAAATGCTGTAAATTCAGTATTACTTGCAGTTACTCCAGCAGTTTCATTTTCAGAAGATTCTGTAAATGTATCGAACAACGGTTCCTTTGTTTCTTTGTCTGGAAAAGGAGGGAGCATTCCTGAGAGAACGTCAACATCTGGAAACTTTAAGAGGAGAAAAGAATAAAAGGAGGAAATGCATTTTCTGATAAAAACACTGCTAAAACAAAATAATGGACTCATTTTGTACATTTAGAAGGACAAAAACAAGAGACTAACTTAATGGACCGCTTACATACTATGATCTGATTTTCTTTTTCTTTTTATCTGCTGGTCCTTGACCATATTTTAGTGATAAAAATTCTCCTAAAATTGTGATATGGTTAGAAAACTGCAAATCCATAAATCAACACCATAAAATTTATTTTCATATTAAATATACACAAAACATAATAATTCAACTCCTTCTCTTCCCAGGATTTTTTAAAAAGTATCTTTATTCAATTTGTGAAGAATCTTTATAAATATCCACCATGGCCTCAAACAGGGGGTCCCCAAACATAAGAAGGCATTAAAACTAGCTTAAATATAAGCTAAAATATAGCTAAAATAAGAATCAAAGACTAAAATGATCCAGTGATATTTAAAGACAACATAGAATAAACATGTTCATGTAAGACCATGGCCCAGGACAGCTGGCAATTTTGTGCTCCACCTTTTTAGTATTTAAAATCTTTTTAGACTCCAAAATATTTGACAGTAGAGTTCTTCTGTTGGTACATGGGGATAGCTAGCCTATACCAGAGGTGGGATCCTATTGGTACGGTACAGTTCAGCCGAATAGGTAGCAACTCTGGCAGACACGTGACCATACCGGTTCTATCCTCGGTGACGCCATCTTGGTTTTCTGTTCTGCACATGTGCAGAACAATCTTCACTGAAAAAATGTATTTTTTTTCCTTTTTAAATGTTGTGCGCATGAGCAGACCATTTTAACTGCAAATGCTCCACCCACCCGCCCCACCAAGTCACTCCTCATGTCCCAGTTGGCTTCCCTGCCTAAGCTGTCTTGCCTGCCTAAGCTGCCACGTGGTGCCTGCTCTGTGCCCCAATTGAGCTGCCTCCACCTCCTGCCTACAGGTAAGCCTCGCTAGCCACCCCACAGAGCTTGCTGCGCCCCCCCCCAGCTCACAAACTTATCTTCCCCCACCCTTTCCAGGATCCCCACAAGCCCCATTTTGGCTCCAAGGAGGCTTCAGGGAGGCTGCTAGACCCAAAATAGAGCGGGGGGAGGGGGCTGGTAAGCCTCCCTGCAATCCCCTGGGAACAAAAGAGAGGGGGGGCGCTTCAAGGGAGAAATAAATAAATAAATCCTCACTGTTTGAGGATCCGCAAGTGCATGGAGCAGAGAGGTCTTCAAAATTGGCAACTTTAAGACTTGTGGACTTCAACTTCCAGAATCCAGCTCTGCTGGCTGGAGAATTCTGGGAGTTGAAGTCCAAAAGTCTTAAAGTTGCCAAGTTTGAAGACCACTGGCATGGAGCTTGAGTTGAGAGCTTATTGAAATTGCGACTAGCTAACCTTGCTCAAGCTAAGCTAATCAACAGTGGAGCTCTAAGAATTCCAGATGATCAATGGCGTGTTCTCAGTTTCAAAACGTCTGGCTTTTCTTTCTCCTATCAAAGACCACCTGGGGTTCTTCACAGGAAGGGAGGAAATAAGGAAAGAAAGAAGGAGAGAGAGGGAGGGAGAGGAGAAAAAGAGAAGGGAAAGTGAATGAGATATGGATGGATGGATGGATGGATGGATGGATAGAGAGAGGGAGGAAAAGAGAGAGAGAAAAAGGAGAGGAAGGAAGAATCACAAACATGGCACTAGAGACACAGGTTCAGAGGATGCTTTGAAACAACACAGCAATCCAGGGCTGGAAGGGACCTCAGAGGCCATCTAGTCCAATCCCCTGCTCCAGCAGGAGATCTTATATTACCTTGGTTATTTTAGTGCCTCTAACACAGAGAAATTCCCAGAAATCCCCTGGCATTGCCAACCTCTCCCCCTTAATAAACTAGAGCAAAAACATCATGCAGTATTAAAAAAAAATAGAAAAGGGGGCTGCTGTGTATTGTTTAATGGACTGCTAAATTGGCAAAATGGACAGCTAAATTGACTACGGCCACCCAGTCATATGGGCACCAAGCCACTCCCACCCGGTCACATGACCCCCAAGCCATTCCCACTCGGTCACATGACTGCCATGCCACGCCCCCAAAATAAGCCACGCCCACAGAACTGGTAGTAAAAATTTTGAAACCCACCTCTGCCTGTAACTCTTCGAGTTTGCTGGTATTCTAGACCGTTTTGTAGGTCAATGGCTAAGTCACCATAAGTCCAACTTTTGGTGACAGCTTCTTTACAGAAAGATTTCCTTGAACTAATCTAGCCTGACCCATCTTTCACAACTTGCTCACCTCTTTTTGAAGAAACTGCATTCCAAATTCAGACTTGAAATAGGGAGGGATCATTTTGTATCTCATCCTCATAAGACAATTCTTTCCATCCTCAATTTCCTGCCTGAAGAATTTTTAAATGGGAGGAAAACAGAAATATCTATAGCAATATAATTTATAATTTGTTCAGGGGTTATTAATGCATATAATTGGTTCAAACAGACAACTTAGATGCTTTAATGGATCGTTATTATTTTCTCAATTTTGCTAAAATTAATAAAGAGAAAGAACTATTGAATAAGCCTTGTATGCATGCATATATTTGTAAAGTTTATTCTGTTTATATAATAGAGACTTCTTATCATTTTAGAAGTTATTTCTTTCACTCTGGAAGACAGTAAGTTTTAAAAAATACTGATTCACAAAGAGCTGAAAGACTGACGAACTGTTTGCATTTTTCAGGTATAATTCTCTTTCTCACTTATAGAAAAATAATTTTCAGTTGCAAAGATATGCTTTTTTTCTCGCAGCACATTACTGAAAATTAAATGAATAAAAAAGTCATTTCACAGAATTTCCAAATTTATACTAGAAATTGCTGTCTGATTTAAAATCTTCAAACTTCAGAAAACTGCCCTCCCCCATACCTTCTGTTTGTGGCTTCTAAATCCTACCCTAAAACTAATGCACTGTTACCTGGTCTGTGCTAATTTAGTCTGCCAGACAGAAAACTTCATAGGCTCGTCGTGGCTGCATAAGGGAAAATGAAACATTTCATAAAATTCAGAGTTATTTAGAAAGCATTCTACTTGATTTTAAATATGACATGACATATGGCTCCGTTTCATACCGTAAAATCCAATCATATGTTTCTATTTCAAGGTACCTGGGATAATCTCATAGCAGCCATACTAGAAGCAGTTAGATGTTAGCTTCCTTAGATATCGCATTATAACATCTATTGTGACTCTGTTTTCACCAAGATAACAGCCAAAATATCTTAAAAGTATTAATCAATAAAGAACGAGGTGTACAACAAGGCAATAAAATATCACCTATCACTCGACAAAATATCACTCGACAAAAGATGGAATAAAAATCAATGGCACCTTTTAAAATCACTTAAGATTTGCAAATTATGATGTCCTCTTCTCACAAGACCAAGAAGATCTAACAAGACACCTGCTGCACAAAGCAGAAGAACCATTTGGCTTAAAATAAACCTGAAAAAGAGCTAGCAAAATTCACCAAAGGAATAAAAGGTTTTATAGAAGAACTAGATGTAGTAGATAACTACATAAACCTTGGCCAATGGATCTCAATGGAAGGTGGTACAATAAAGGAAATTGAATGGCGTGTTAAATGTGGTTAGCAGGCATTTGGCAAGCTAAGCCTAATTTTCAAAAACAACCTCCCTCTATGCTTGAAGAAAGAAGTTTTTGATTAGTGCGTGTTACTTGCTCTAACATATGCCGGTGAAACATGGAGCCTAATCTCACAATCAAGACAAAAGCTACGAATGATGCAAAGAGCTACGGAAATACTTGGCATTACAAGACAAGATAGAAAGACCTGCACCTGGATTAGAAAACAAACAAAAGTATATGATATCATCAGGAGAGTATAAGAATTGAAATGGAAATGGGCTGGTCACATAGCAAGAAGAGCTGATGGCAGGTGGAACAAGGCAGTCAAGGCAATCCCACTTGATAAAAAGCATTCACGAGAGAGACCTAAAACAAGATGGATTGACGACATCAGCAAGTATTGTGGGCCTAATTGGCAAAAGAAACTCAGGACTGCATTGGTTGGAAACTTGCAGAAGAGGCCTCCATCTTGCAGTGGATGGACAATGGCTAAAATGATGATGATGATGATGATGATGATGATGATGATGATGATGATGATGATGATGATGATATTGAAGTAATCTGAGTGTTTCAGTTTCCAATAGAGATACCAAGATACCAGATATCAAGAGAAGAGAGTTCAGTTAATTAACAACACCAGAAAACTCTTCAAAGAATTCCTTTATTAACCT